CCAACCATCTTTGAGCCATAGGTTGTTTAGTTTCCATGACTTTGTGTACAGATGAGTGTTTCTGTTGGAACTGACATCTAATTTTATTCCACTGTGGTCTGAGAAGATGCATGTTATAATTTCTATTTTTTTTAATTGGTTGAGACAAGTTTTGTGACCTAGGATGTCATCAATCTTAGAGAATGTTCCATGAACTGATGAGAAGAATGTATATTCAGTGGGTTTTGGGTAGAATGTTCTGTAAATGTCTATTAGACCCATTTATTCTACAGTTCTGTTTTGTCCATTGTTTCTTTGTTTATTTTCTGTTTGAAATATCTGACCTGTTCTGTCAGAAGGGTATTGAAGTTCCTGGCTATGAGTTGCTGCTGTTTATCATTTTGTTTAGATCAAGGATTTGCTTTATGAACTTCAGCACACCTGTGTTAGGTGTGTAACTATTTAAAATTGTTATGTCTTCTTGTTCAATTGTTCCCTTTACCATTATATAATAACCATCTTTGTTTTTCTTTATTTCTGTTGATTTGAAGTCTATGTTATCTGATATGAGAACTGCTACATCAGCTTTCTTGTGGTTTCCATTTGCATGGAATATTGTTTTTCTTATTTTGTTGTTTGTTTGTTTGTTTGTTTGTTTTGAGACAGGATCTTGCTCTGTTGCCTGGAATGGAGTACAGTGGTATGATCATAGCTCACTGCAGCCTGGAACTCCTGTGCTAAGTGATCCTCCTGCCTCAGCATCCTGAAGTGCTGGGATTACAGGTATGAGCCACTGCACCCAGCCTCTTTCAGACCTTTAAAGTGTCATATTCTCACTTAATTTCCCCTAGATCAGACAAGGGAGAGCCCTCAAAGAAAGCCTGGCTGCAACAATGCATATTTTTTCTACTTATGCAAATCTCCTCCACAAAAGATAGCCTTTCAGTTATTCTTGTATTTCCAGCCCTTCTGAACAGCAATCCTGAACTGTGTCAAGGAAATATATTTGGCTGTGAAATATTTTGGTTTTATTCAAGATTATAAAATTACCTGAAATAAGAATTTTACTGATAGAATTATAGAGGGAAACACCAAAAACTTTGCTGTCCCACCATCAGAGTGGACCACCATAAGTCACAGAAGTCCTACATCCTAGACTAGTGTTTCTCAACCTTTTTTATTAATGATTGCTTCCATAGGATCCATTTTACATATTTCTTCCAGATTATCCTCCCCCATGAAATTTTAATGCCACAAATATATTGGCACATGTACTGTATGCTAATCTGTGCATTATATATATTCATATAAAGAGAAATATTTTTTTCACCCCTCAAGAACAAGTTTTTACCTCCATTGAGAATGCATGTTCTAGACCCACATCTGCCATTTACCTTGCTATGTTTTCTTAAGAAAAGTTATTATCATTTCTGAGTCTTGATTTCTTTTTGGTATCTTGACCAGGAAAGATGAGCTTATTCTTCAGATTCCTCCAATGTCCATCCTTCCACAGTTACCACCCCATTAATGACCTTGCCTTCTGACCCAGTTACAGCCTTTGGTTACATATATGTGAGGAGCAAAATTGAACTACATTTTTCTTTAAACAGACATCAACGTTGCCTTTGAGACCACAGTCAGCGTAGAGCAGGCAGCCTATTTTATTCCATTCTGGCAAGCAGAATGGGAGTTTGTCAGTCCTATTCAGGATTCATTGCTATCAGTCACCCTTTCTCTCCTATCCTGGGTCCCACTTGGATTAGAAACATTTCTTTTTTTTTTTTTTTTTTTTTTTTTTTTTTAATTTTTTTTTTGAGACAGAGTCTCACTTTTGTTGCCCAGGCTAGAGTGAGTGCCATGGCGTCAGCCTAGCTCACAGCAACCTCAAACTCCTGGGCTCAAACGATCCTCCTGCCTCAGCCTCCCAAGTAGCTGGGACTACAGGCATGTGCCACCATGCCCGGCTAGTTTTATGTATATATATTTTTAGTTGGTCAATTAATTTCTTTCTATTTTTAGTAGAGACGGGGTCTCGCTCAGGATGGTTTCGAACTCCCAACCTCGAGCAATCCGCCCGCCTCGGCCTCCCAGAGTGCTAGGATTACAGGCGTGAGCCACCGCGCCCGGCCTAGAAACATTTCTATTAAACAGGAGGCCTGTTCTCTGTTCCTCTATTCTACCTTCTAGTCAGTGCACTGGCACGCAGGTGCTGCCTTCAGCAGGATTCAGAGTCAACAGTCCCCTTCTCGGCCATGGCTTCGTTTTCCTTCTGTGGCTGGCAGGATTTAACTTTTCAGGTTGGCACCATTTGGTGTCTCACCCAATCAAGAGTCAGACGCTGCCTCTGTCATAGGGCACATGGTCTGTTGGTGCCACCTGGGCAGCTCACATAATGTGTCACTCTCACTACTGGGCAGCATCTAGAAGGGTGCAAAGAAGCAGGTGCATGCTCACAGGAACAGTCTTGGGTTTACCTAAGCCTCAGGGATTCCAAGAGAAAAACAAGACCAAGGTGGGAAAAATCTTGTCCCCATCCCACCTGCTATATTTTCTGCTACCTAGAAACCCCACAAGTGAAACTGATGTCAGTCAGGCCCTATATTCAGAAATATCCCCAACTTTTCAGGAAGAAGCACCTTCCCTTTTTTGGGAGACCCCATCAGGTAGGGCATAGGTTAAAGCTCTCAAAAACTCTCTTTCCAACTCTCTTTCACCCACACCACATCTCCTGATGGAAAAGTCTAGTGGGGCAGGGTGAGAGCATTTATTTTAACTGAAAGTAAATAAAAATATTTTCTCTTCTGTCTTTCGCTCTGATTTTTTTCCCACTATAACCCAGCACTTCCCATTTAGCCAGCAAGTAGAGAATGAGGAACCAGTCAGCAGCTTGTAATAAAAATTGTGGTGTATGGGGATTCATGTAGTGGGATTCACGAATCATGTCTTTTCCTTTTTATTATTATTATTATTTTAGCAGCAGAGTCTTACTATGTTGCCCAAGCTGGCCTTGAACTCCCAGGCAGCCTCTTGAGTAATACCATTGTGCCTGGCTTTTCTTTTTCTGTCTCCTAGGCTCTAAGAACTTAGAAACAGACAACTTACAGTTTAACACTTCAAACTAAGTTTTGCTTATCTACTTCCCCCCTTTTATATCTCTTCTTGTTTCCATGTCCTAACTCGCAATTAATGGTATACTTATCCACCCAATTCAGAACAGAAGAATTACTCATGGTGCCTCCCTCATTCTTATCAGCTATATTCAGTCATTAAATCCTATAAATTCTACCTCAGCAATATTTGTCATAACTCCCCCACCCCTGTCCTTCTACTGTCTTAATTCCAGCGTTCATCACCTTTTGCTTGAACAAATGCAATAAATTCCTAATCCGTCTCCCAGTCAGGGGAACCTCTCCCCACCCAACACTACCACAAAAGCATTTCTTCCCAATGACTTCACCAGTCCCTTATTTAAGAAAGGAAAATAAGAAATCAGAAATTTTTCCTCCAATATAAAGAGAATAAGCTTCAATTAATAGGAATCTTGAGTTCATTGCTTCAAAATTTTTATTCAGGTACTGTGTTGCAAATCCCTTCTCTTTGCTGATAACAGACTCTATGAGTCACTAAAGGAGCTAAAACAGAGAACCTATTTGCTAGCTAATCAAATTGGGCAAAGATCTAAAGTAAGATTAAATTGATCATTCTCGATTTGTTCAATATCATAAGTGACAGATTTCTCTAGTGTTTTTCTGCCATCTTCAGAGCAAATAGATAAGAACTGTGTTGCTGCCAAACTGTTTTATTACCCACGTAAAAGGCAAATCTTTGTCAGGATATACATGGCTAGGAGAGAACCATAAATCACAATTAACAATTGCTTAGGAGATAATAAAGGTTCACGATTTTACATGCTGTTAATCACCTTGTCTAAAATAGCACCTCTCCAGGGCTTTACCCAGCTTTTTCTCCATGATACTCACTACAACCTAACACATTTTTCTATTTTCTGTCACCACAAGAGAGTAAAGCAAGCACTTAGTTTTGCCAAAACAGTGGTAGCAAATGTGTTTGATTCATTCGTGTATATGCCTAACACCTAATACAGTGCTTGGTACAAAGTTGAGCAATGAACCTTCGGCAAATACTAAAAAAAGGGAAATAGAGCGAGAGGAAAAAAAAAAACTGGCTCGTCTACCTAGCGTTTCAGGCAACTAATTACTCGCAACCAAAACAGCTTAAAAGTCCTCGGAACGACCGTGGGTAAGAGGCAGAGCCAGTTATCAACCGTATTGTACAGGTATAGAGTGAAGCTTGAAAACGTGCCCGGACAAGGTCACAAGGCAATGAAAATGAAAAAAAACAAAATCAAGGGGAAAAAAACTTTATGGGATTTCATCATTTAACCTTTGACGTCAGACCCAAGAAGCCGGTTAGCTCCGGTCGGAAACAGCCACACTTGGCACCATATTTATCTCACAATAAATTACGAAGGGGCAAAAAGTCCTTCAATAAGAAAGCAGGGCGACGGAATAACTTTTAACTCTTAACACTACCTCCTTTCAATTGTTTAATAATTCTGTGTCTGCTACGCGTGAAAAGGTTGAGACAAAAACAAAACAGAGCGCCGCTGCCCAAAACTAAGATGGCCTACCCAGCTTCCCTTCAGGCACCCAATATGGACGCCGACTGTGACGTTCCCAGAAACAATTCTCAACTGGCCCCGCCCCACCAACCCGGAACCCCGCCTCCCCAACTGTGCCCGGTCTTCCGTCATAGGCCTGCTCGTGATTGGCTGCTCATACTATTTCCCTCCTTTCGGATGTTGCGTCACGCAGTGAGCCCGAGGGACTGCACGCGCAGAAGCAGTAAGGAGCGGGCGGGAGGCGGGAGAGGTGGGGGGCGTGTGTGTTTCCCCGGCCCGGAAGGGGAACTGCGTGGTGGCGGTGACTGGGAACTGAGGTACCGCTTCCCCCGCTGGCAGGAGCCCCGAATCCCCGGTACTCCTGGCGGTCGGCCTCATGGGGCCGTTGGGGACGGCTGGGGAGGGCTGAAGCGGCGGCGCTGCTGGCTGCGTCACGGTCGGGCTTCGCGTCAGGGTCACCCTCTTGTGGGTGACCCGGGGGAGGAGTCGGCGGCCCAGGGGTCCAGGACAGGCAGGTAGTGGCTCTCCCTCTTTGGCCTCCTCTCCCTGGGCAGCGAAGTGCCGAGTCATGCTCGCAGCGGGGCCGTGCAGCCGCTGCCCTAGCAGATAAAGAGGCACCTGAGACGGGTGGGGGCATGGGAGTGGTGTGCGTTAACATGGAGGTTTGTGCCGGCCTCTCATCCCAGAGGGGGCTGGGCGAACATCAGTGCTCACTGAAGCGTAAGCTCTCTTTTTTTTGAGGCAGAGTCTCACTTTGTTGCCCAGGCTAGAGTGAATGCCGTGGCGTCAGCCTAGCTCACAGCAACCTCAAACTCCTGGGCTTAAGTAATCCTCCTGCCTCAGCCTCCCGAGTAGCTGGGACTACAGGCATGCGCCACCATGCCCGGCTAATTTTTTTCTATATATATTAGTTGGCCAATTAATTTCTTTCTATTTATAGTAGAGACGGGTCTCGCTCTTGCTCAGGCTGGTTTCGAACTCCTCGAGCAATCCTCCCGCCTCGGCCTCCCAGAGAGCTAGGATTACAGGCGTGAGCCACTGCTCCCAGCGGAAGCGTAAGCGCTTATGTGAAAGTGTATAGGAGTTTCTCCGTTGCATAGCGAAGGCACCTGAGTCTCAAAGGTCCAGCACCCGCACAAGGTCACTTCTAACATGTGGCAGAAGCAGGATTCCCACTATAGGCCGTTATGCGACATGGAGGCCACTCTGAGCTGAGCCGCCTTGGCTCCAGTGGGCTGAGGACTGAGGAAGATAGGACAGCTATAGTTTAAGATGATGTAATGGCACGAAAGTGCCAGCATGGCTCAGTGTTTTCTTAAAGGACAGGTGCTCAGTATTATATACCCTTGGTAGTTCCAGTGGCAGAGCTGAAAGGACACTCGAGTGTTTTAAAGCAAGAGTTCCTAGCTTTTGGAGTGCTAGTTAAAACATATTTTTGAACCTATTAGAGGTAGAATCATGAGGAGCAAAGTAAAACCTAGGGGTCTATGTTTTAAGATGCATCTGGGCAATTTCAAAGCAGGTAATTTAAAGGTCAGCACTATAGTCTGAACACAGTTTCAGCCCAGTTCTCTTATTTAACAGACGGGGAAGATGAGACCTAGAAGGAGAGTTACTTTCCTAAATATTCACTACAAATCAGCACATAGAGATGTGTTGGTAGCCCACATTGGCTTATGCTTGTCATCTCATTCTCACCTATCAGTCATCTTAGCATTACAGAAAGACATTCAGCTGACTTGTGTTTGGCCACCCACAGGTATAATTATCTGCCCTGGAGCCAAGAGAATCCAGTTTTTAGCATGCTTTTCTTTGGGGGACATTATTGAAGGAGTCTAATGTGAGGGAAACCTGGTTGGTAACTGAGTTTACTTTGAAAGATTGAATGTCCTTTATGTAGACATAGTAGGCTATATAGAGTAGGTTAACTTGCTTTGAATATTTGTCCATCTTGAAGGGAAGCGTGATTAGCTGAAATTTATGTAGTTGGCTTCTGTTGATGTCTTTTAGCCTTGTAATGCAGTATGACCGCTAAGAGTTACTCATGTCTTACTTGGATGATATTTTTCCTCTGTTCAAAAGTTATATAGAGTCTTTTAAGTTTTCTCATTGAATGCTGGTATAAATCTTAAGCCAAAACTGCAATTGTAAAAACCATCACAGACCCTGTATTGTTTAGTTATTAACATCCACTCTGTTACATGTAACTTTTGCAGTCGGACTTAAATCTAATTTGGCGCTGCATCCCAAACTAAGTTCTGTGGGATGGATTTTTTGAATTATAAGGGGAAAGCAGAGGATACATTATTGAAAATTAAAAGCACCACTTTATTCCATCTTTTCTATTAAAAGATAATTTGTTTCTTCTTGTCTCTTGCCCCTCTATGTCCTCCTTTTAATTGGTTAATGATTTATTTTTCCTGTCTTTCTAATTAGCATTTCAGATCTGCTTGGTAAACCTGGTGTACCACCATGCTGGCTGCAAGGCTTGTGTGTCTCCGGACACTACCTTCCAGGGTTTTCCACCCAACTTTCACCAAGGCCTCCCCTGTTGTGAAAAATTCCATCACGAAGAATCAATGGCTCTTAACACCCAGCAGGGTAAAGATAATCTGAATGTTTTTATATTTCTTTATTTGTGCCTGTGGGACCATTTTTTGGCAGAGTATAAAGCTTGCTCTAGTGATTTACTACAGCACTTAGTCCTAATAATGTTCCCAGTCAGCTCTTTCTCCCCATAGTTTTCTTTCTTTCATCTTATCTTTTCTTTTCTTTTCTTTTCTTTTCTTTTCTTTTCTTTTCTTTTCTTTTCTTTTCTTTTCTTTTTATTTGAGACAGGGTCTCACTCTGTTACCCAGGCTGGAGTACATTAGTGGCACAGTCATAGCTCACTGTAGCTTTGAACTCCAGGTCTCAGGTGATCCTCCTGCCTTAGCTTTCCAAGTAGCTAGGACTACATGTGTATGCCACCATGCCTGGCTGATTTTTCTTATTTTTGTAGAGACGTGATCTTGCTCTGTTGCCCAGGTTGGTCTCAACCTCCTGGCCTCAAGTGATCCTCCCAGAGTGCTGGGATTACAGGTGTGAGCCATCGTGCTCAACTTCCCATTAGTTTCATATCATTCTGGTCCCTCCTTATCATATATGAAAGAGAAAAGGAGTTCTGATAACTTTTCCTTTATTTAAAACTCTTATTTTTCATTCAGAAAATTAGAGAGTATATCGTGAGGGATTGAGAGTTATATGGTAAAACAAAGAGATTATTGGGCCTATAGTCAAAAGTTTAAGAACCCAGACATATTACCAGTTGGCCAATAGCTTGTTAATAAGTTACTAAAGCTATTTCAGCTCTTTTTTTAAAATTTTACAATAGACTGTCATCCAATGTAATATTTCAACTCTGGTTTAGAGAATGTTAAAATTTGTCAGGTTAGAGAAAAACCCATTTCCTTTTACAATAGATTTCTCCTCTAGCATTCAAATTAGAAGGAGTACATGTTTTAAAGTGTGAGGTAAATAAGGAGAATATACGAAAGCTAGAAGTAAACAACTTTTTCTCTGTGAAATTAACTGTTCCACTGTTGAAAAAGAGCCAAAACAAAAGGTAATAGTCATCCCTCCCTCTGGCTTCATTATTAAGGAAGGCCATTGAGCTCATTTCCCAGATTACAAAATGCAGCTATGCTTATTGAATACATATTTTTAAAAATTTAATAGAGTCTTAAGATGTTAATAGATTCTTATCTTGACATTTGATTGGTGTTTAAAATATACTAATTCTAGGTATATAGATAAAATCTATAATTTATAAAAGAAACAGTTATTCTGAAAATTTAAAAGTTAAGAGTATAATGAATTACTGAATCACTTCAAAAATGAAGCACAAGTAAGGTCTACATTTATTTTCTTAGGTTGGCTAACAGATTTTCATAGTGAAATTACATATATAGAAAGTACCAGGTTTCTTGCATTAGCGTTTTCTAATGTAAAGAGATCCTCCATTTTATTAAGATTCCATTTTGGTGTGGGTATTATGTGTTTTTCTTTGCATGCATGTCAGGAATATGCCACCAAAACAAGAATTGGGATCCGGCGTGGAAAAACTGGCCAAGAACTCAAAGAGGCAGCATTGGAACCATCAATGGAAAAAGTATTTAAAAGTAGGTGGCAGTCTTTAGCTTTTAACTTGGAGTCTGTGGATATGTTTTAAGAGGTCCATTAACAACCTCCTAAAAATATATGCAAACTTGTGTATTTGTGCATTTTCTGGGAAGAAAGCCATTCTTGGATCTAATGACCAAAAAAAAGATTGATACTTTGGACTGGATTCAGTGGTTCCCAGTCATATTTCTTCCATTAGAAATTTTACTTTCCCCTTTTTTAAAGAAAAGGATTGTTAGTTAATATGCCCTGATCTGAAAGGCATAGTTTGTTGAAGTTCATTTGAAATGTGTAGAATCTTCATTCAAGCATTTAATGTCTGTGTATGTTTCAGGATGAGAATTAAGTCACCCAAACACATCCTCTCCCTTGATTCTGCTACATAAACACTGATTACAGTTTTATTCCTTGATTCTTTTCTTTTCTTGACTTGATGTAAAGCATCATCTTTGTTAATACCACTTTAGACACAGTGTGGTGTAACTATTGACATTTTCTTCTCATTTTTTACATTCTAAGAATGTCGTAAGAACACACCTCAACTTTTTATTAATAATGTACATCACAGAAATATTTCCACATATAGAGATACACTGCCACCTCAAAATGAGTGAGATTGAAAGTTAATCAAGTTTGATCTTTTCCTTTTTTACTTATTTATTTATTTATTTATTGAGACAGAGTCTCACTCTGTTGCCTGGGCTAGAGGGCTGTGGCGTCAGCCTAACTCACAGCAACCTCAAACTCCTAGGCTCAAGCAGTCCTTCTGCCTCAGCCTCCCAAGTAGCTGGGACTACAGGCATGCACCACCATGCCCGAATAATTTTTTCTATATATTTTTAGTTAGCCAATTAATTTCTTTCTATTTTTAGTAGAGACAGGGTCTCGCTCTTTCTCAGGCTGGTTTTGAACTCCTGACCATGAGCCATCCGCCCTCCTGGGCCTCCCAGAGTGCTAGGACTATAGGCGTGAGCCACTGTGCCCGGCCTTTATACTGATTATTACACCTGTGTTTCAAGTGTGTCCTTTTCTACTGGGTCCATAACTATGAGACCATTTCTGTATCTCCATATGCACTAATTATGACCATATTGAAAAAATAGAGTATATGATTTGATTCCTCTCATAAATATTGTGAAGACCTTACCACCAGCACATTCATTTAGTCAAGACATGCCAGTATTCACCTACATTTCCTCCTGTATTTTGCAGTTGATCAAATGGGAAGATGGTTTGTTGCTGGAGGGGCAGCTGTTGGTCTTGGAGCATTGTGCTACTATGGCTTGGGAATGTCTAATGAGATTGGAGCTATTGAGAAGGCTGTGTAAGTAAATTGTTCCCAAACAATTCCAGCCTTTAAAACAAAGGTTCAGTTTTCTTCTCATCCTTATCTTTATTTCCTTTCAGAATGTTTTGTGTCTAGTCTTCATCTGTTTATATACATGAATAAAAACAAATCTCTTCTTGCTTCCTTGGCATATATTTATTGAAACCTAAATAAAAATCTTTTAGCAAGGTTATATGTGTTTAAGCAAGGAGAAAATATGTTACATTTTATATGTGCCAAGTGCTTACATGTTTTATCCCATTTAATCTTTACAGTTATTCGAAAGTATGCATAATTATTCCCATGATAAATAAGATTTAGAGTAGTAAAGTTATTTGTCCCAAGGTTGCCCAGCTGGTAAATGACTCAACCAGAATGCTAACCCATAATTCTGTAAATTAACTATGTTGTATTTCTTACAGAATTTGGCCTCAGTATGTGAAGGATAGAATTCATTCTACCTATATGTACTTAGCAGGAAGTATTGGTTTAACAGCTTTGTCTGCCTTGGCAGTAAGCAGAGCTCCTGTTCTCATGAACTTTATGACGAGAGGCTCTTGGGTGGTAAGTCAGCTGTTATTGTTTTCCTTTTTATTTTTTGTCTAAAGATCAAAAGATTAGATGAACTATATTGGGAGAGAGAGGTGTTAAATGGAAAGAATACTATATTGAACAAATTTTTGTTCAAATCTATCAATTACAGGTTGAGTATTCCTAGTTCAAAATCTGAAAAATTCTCCAAAATCTAAACCTTTTTGAGCACTGACATGACACTCAAAGGAAATGCTCATTAGAGCATTTTGGATTTTGGATTTTCAGATTAGAGATACTGAACAGGTAAGTGTAATGCAAATACACCAAATCTGGAAAAAAAAATTGAAATTGGAAACACTTCCCATGCATTTTAAATAAGGGATACTCATCGTGTATTAGTACAGCTGAGACAAATTAGGAAGTGCATTCTAAGGTAAGGCAGCTATTAATTCTTTGTCAAATATGTATTCTAATAGCACCAGAGAAGTTGAAAATCAGATTTACAGTGACATCCTTCTTGTCTGCCAGCAGATGTCACACAGCCTCTGTTTTGTAGCAATTTACTAAACCAAATGCAAAATCTTCTTAGAGGTCAGAGGGAAATACCTGTCACAAACACCTAAGCATTCTGTGCTATTAAGAGTAGACTAGAGTTGCTGCTGTTATTCCTAAGCTTCTTGACCTTTTGTAAGATTTTATATTCATTTGAGTATTTCTTGAGCAATTGTTATTTTGGTAAATACCAGAATATGATTTCCGACATGGGCCCCATTTTCTTTGTATCTGGTAGAATAGATGAGCTGGAGTAAGTGATACAGGATGGGCAATAAGAAGTAGAAAGTGCAAAGTTCAGGCTAGGCCGGGTGGCTCACCCACCTTGAAATCCTAGCACTCTGGGAGGCCAAGGAGGAAGGATCTCTTGAGGTCAGGAGTTCAAGACCAGCCTGAGAAAGAGTGAGACCCCCATCTTTACTAAAAATAGAAGTAATTAGCCAGGAATGACTAAAAATAGAAAAAATTACCTGGGAGTAGTGGTGCTAACCTGTAGTCCCAGCTACTTAGGAGGCTGAAGCAGGAGGTTGGCTTGAGCCAGAAGACTGAGGTTGCTGCGAGCAAGGCTGGTGCCATGACACTCTAGCCTGGGCAACAGAGCAAGACTGTCTCAAAAAAAAAAAAGCAATATTCAGTTGAAAGTTTCTGTCTTGGACTATTAGGGAGGTTCCTTGAAGGAGACATTTATTTCACCAGGGTTGTTGAAGGCTATTGTTTAATTTTAGAAGAAAACAAAGGCAGTCTAGTTTTATCAAACAGCTTGAGCAAAGAAGAGATAGGAAAACCTAATTTTAAAAGTGACTTACAAATCCCATTAGACTGAAATTCAGATGTTTGAGGTCCGGAGTATGAAGATGACACGGGTATGTTTGGTTGCCAAGCTAAGGAGAGTACCTAAGCAGTCAGGGGCCATTGAAGATATTAGAACAGTGAAAGCGTGATTTGTATTTGAGTTTTAAGAACAAACGTGGAAAAGGCATGAAACAGGTGTACCAGCTGTGTCTTTGTAAGATCAGAAATGAGGAACCTGAACTAGAGCAATGTGAGTGTGTGACTCAAGGGGAAGGAAAGATGAGTTTATGTAATATGTACTGATTCCCCACACAGGGAATGCAAATCCGTAATATTTCCACTACATTGTACTTTCCAAAAGAACCATTTACAGTAGCATAGCCATTTGGACACTTTGATAGTCTTAGGATCAGGGTTGTCCAGTGTCTGTCATGAATCTTCTAGCCCAGAGATTCATACAGAATAAGCATGGTGCATTCTCACCGGAATGTCAATTTTAATCAAAGGTAAATAATTTAAAACAATAGTTTTATAATAAAATAGCAATATTATGAAAAATTAAATGTACATAAAATTTTAGACCCTAAAATAAGACTTCAAGGAAGTTTTGTGCTTGGGCAGTCTTTTCACCCACCTCTGGGCAAAAGATCACCCTCATCCACTGTTAGGGATACTTAAGGAAAATAGTCGGAAGAGCCAAAGATGGGTGCTACAGCGATGAAGACATTGCCTTTTAGGGATGACAGACGTTCACATACACAGATAATGTCAAAGTTTGTCCCAAGTGCCTTTGGAACAGAGGGGAGACATCTGACCCTGTTACTGGGCAGCCATCAGACATGGAGGCAATTCCTTAGTAAGTCAGTCAGGGAGGAAGGAGGTGTTCTCAGGCACAATGGACAGAGTTAAGGAGGCATGAAACCTTGGGGCATGTTTGTCCTGCCAGTTCAGTACAGCTGGAAGGTAGAGTGTGGAAAAGTAAAAGGCAAAATATGAGAGTGGATCATGATGAACTTTAAAATAAAAAAATATAATTCCAGTAAATATCCAGAAAATTCTGTGCTAAGGATGCGTGAAGTAGGGTTTTTATTTGTTTTTGTTGTTTTTGAGACAGAGTCTCACTTTGTTGCCCCTGCTAGAGTGAGTGCCGTGGCGTCAGCCTAGCTCTTAGCAACCTCAAACTCCTGGCTCGAGCAATCCTCCTGCTTCAGCCTCTGAGTAGCCGGGACGACAGGCATGTGCCACCATGCCTGGCTAATTTTTTTCTATTTTTGGTAGAGACAGAGTCTCGCTCTTGCTCAGGCTGGTCTCGAACTCCTGAGCTCAAATGATCCGCTTGCCTCGGCCTCCCAGAGTGCTAGGATTGCAGGCATGAGCCACCGCGCCTGGCCAACGTGAAGTAATTTTTAGTAATTGTGTCTGCATTGGAAAATGGTGAGATGGAACTTAGTATGCTTTTCTGTATGAGGGTTTTCCCATTCTCAGAAAACACAGCCGTTCTTTTTACTGTACTTTACATTAGAGGTTGAACATTCTGATGTCCATGGGTCAGACAATACAAATGAGTAAAGAGGGCTGACGTGTCACACAGGGAATTATTGACATCTAGAGAAAGGCTTCCAACTAAAAAGTATTGACCACAGTCCATTTTTTTTTAATAGTTGGACAAACAACATACCTGCTGCCTGATTCTGTCCAGGTTTGCAATCTCTGCTTTAAATTTCTTGAAGATTGCTTATCGCTATCTTCCATTATACACATTTCTTGTCATACACACAAAAATTTTTTTTTTTTTTTTGAGACAGAGACTCACTTTGTTGTCCAGGCTAGAGGGAGTTTCGTGGCATCAGCCTAGCTCACAGCAACCTCAAACTCCTGGGCTCAAGCGATCCTCCTGCCTCAGTCTCCCGAGTAGCTGGGATTACAGGCATACGCCACCATGCCTAGCTAACTTTTTCTATATATATATCAGTTGGCCAATTAATTTCTTTCTATTTATAGTAGAGATGGGGTCTCGCTCTTGCTCAGGCTTGTTTTGAACTCCTGACCTCGAGCAATCTACCCACCTCAGCGTCCCAGAGAGCTAGGATTACAGGAGTGAGCCACCGCACCCGGCTTACACACGAAATATTTTAATGTTAAAACATTGGAAATCTAAGATAGGTAAAGAAAAGGAATGAGCACCAACTCAGCCATAAACCTTGAAGGTTAGAAATGTAGAATCTTATGTTTTCATCTCTTCGTGCGCTATGATATTTACCTTCTATTTTCAAGTTTTTATTTAGCAAATATGAAATTCAAAGCAGTGTACTATATACATATTCTAATTAGTAGATCATGACTGATTTTAAAGAAAGTGCCATTTGTGCTATCTAAAATATATTTTTTAATTAAGAGTAGTTATCCTGGGATTCATTAAAGAATTTTTGTTTCACCTCTGACAAGAGTAAAATTATTAAAAAGATGATGGTGCCCATCCAATCTCAAGTCACATACTTGAAGCTACCTGCACTACCTCATATATGGCGGTAGGGGGCACTCTTGCTAACTTAGCCAATACTCCAAAATAAACCCAACACCTTTAATGTATCAGAAAAATATAGGATTTGGTTTATTATCCTTCATCTTTTTTAAAAACCTGGTTTATTAGAAGTAACTAATTGTACTTGAAACTTGTGGGTTTCTACTTTGGTTTTAGATAAGGATCAATTTTTCTAAATAATATGTGTCTTTCAGACAATTGGTGCAACCTTTGCAGCAATGATTGGAGCCGGAATGCTGGTACATTCAATACCATATGAAGAGAGCCCAGGCCCAAAGCATCTTGCTTGGTTGCTACATTCTGGTATGTTCTATTTTAAATTGTTATTAAACAATCTCGAATACTACCTCTTTTGGGTGGCTTTCAATTGTAAATTACCTATACATAATTTAATTAAACCTCATATTTAGAAACACAGCTTTCTTCAGTCATTATTGGTTGTATTATTGCCTGACTTTTACTCCAAAAAGTTGATTCTGATCCTAAGACCATGGACGTCCTTAATACTGAACTTTTCTCCTCTAACAGTCTAGTATGCAGAGATTTTCTTTAGTGTATTTTCTTCAATAGCGGGTGGGTTTCAGATCTAATACACATCACATGAGAGTTTTTATTTCCTATCTTTAGAAAAATGTTTAAAAACCTCTGAGGGTAGAGAAAGCTTTTTTAAAAATTTTGTTGTCAAATGCAAAACTGTTGGAAATCCTAATAGAAATGTCATAGGTAGTAGCAACTTTTTATACAGTATCTTTACTAGAACAAAAAGCATTCTTAAATTATTCATCATCATGAGATATGGTATATTTTATTACTTGATCTAGAAGTGTTACTCTTGCAAAAGTAATACACTAATATTGAAAAATCAGTATGTGCCTAGTCTATAAGGTAAACTATGTTTAAGAAAAGAGTAATTTCTGCTCAGTGCTGAAATACAGACTTATCTAAGATTTTTTTTAATTAAGGAATTCCATTTATCTTTGTTATAAATTATTGATACCTTTTGGCTATAATTTTTATGAAGAGTTTATAATTATAAACAACTAAAATTACTTTTTATAAACTCTGATAGTGTTCCCTGTTACACAATGTAACAGCAGTGTCTGTCCTAGAAATTCCTACATTTTAAGATTATCATATCATTTTTTTCTTTTACCTTACTCCTTTTTGGCAGCAGTAGGTTTGACCTTGAATTACTCATTCTAAGCCTTTTTATCCCAGTTCTTACATGAATGTTGTAAAAACTGGTAGTAAGATCCAAATAGTGGGTTACATGGGATTTGACGATAAAAATACAGATTAATGTTTGTGCTTATGAGTTGTAACTGTTTGACTAGGAATAGCGTTAATTAATGTTGTGATATAGAATTTGAGTAGCCACAGATTTTGTTGTAGAATTTTGGGAGTAGTATTATCTAAAGGAAAAATTTTTTATAATCATATTGCTTAAACAATAAGATACAGCATGTTGGCATATTTAGAAGTAGCATTTTCCATTTGGTTGCTATTTAGTAAATACTTAAAAAGCACTTGCTTGCTCTTTCTCCAGGTGTGATGGGTGCAGTTGTGGCTCCTCTGACAATATTAGGAGGGCCTCTGCTCATCAGAGCCGCGTGGTATACAGCCGGCATTGTGGGAGGCCTCTCCACTGTGGCCATGTGCGCACCTAGTGAGAAGTTCCTGAACATGGGAGCACCCCTGGGAGTGGGCCTGGGTCTCGTCTTTGTGTCCTCACTGGGTAAGCTGCTGTGCTTTGACACTTAGTTCTTGGTTCATAGTGTCCTAAAATCCGAAATATTCAGGTATTCTAATTCATTGAGTCATTTTTAAAAGTTTAAAAGGTATATTGCTAATTTGACTGGATTTTATTACATGATGTCATCTTGGCAACATGGTAGATCATTATTATTGGTTTTACCAAATATATCTAAAATGGGAAAGTTGGTCTGGAGAACACGAAAATTGTTCTGATGCCTTCCTGAAATGTTGGCAAGTGGCCCATTAGAGTAATGTGTATCATGGGTTTTAAACTAATGTAAATAAGATTAGACAGTACACGTACTCAGATGTCTTTTTACCTTCACAGTATACTGAAGAGATTTTTTTAAGTAGTGTCAGTTATAAATCCAGTTATAGGAAAGTGATTTTTCAAAAAAGAAAAGAAATCTTTATTCTCCCCCCCTTTCGATTTCAGGATCTATGTTTCTTCCACCTACCACTGTGGCCGGTGCCACTCTATACTCAGTGGCAATGTATGGTGGATTAGTTCTTTTCAGCATGTTCCTTCTGTCTGATACCCAGAAAGTAATCAGGCGGGCAGAAATAACACCAATGTATGGAGTTCAAAAATATGATCCCATCAACTCGTAAGTAACATTTAATGTTGTTACTTTTATATAAGGATGTTGGTGTTAGTTTGACCTATTTTGTTTTATAGCCGTATTTAGTTTCCTAGGGCTACTGTAACAAAGTATTACAAACTGGATGGCTTAAAACAGTAGAACTTTGTTCGCTCACAGTTCTGGAGGCCAGAAGTCCAAAGTGAAAGCATCAGCAGAGATGGTGCCTTGTGAGGGCTCTGAGAGAGAATCTGTTCCATACCTCTCTCTCTTAGCTGGCAATCCTTGGCATCCCTTGGCTTTAGACGGATCACTCCAATCTTTGTCTCCATCTTCACATGACATTCTCCCTGTGTGTCTGTCTCTATCTCTTCTGCTTTTATTTATATTTACACATTTATGTAAATATAATATATGATTATTTAAAGAGCCAGGGTCTGGCTCTATTGCCTGGGCTAGAGTGCAGTGACGTCATCATAGCTCACTACAACCTCAAGCTTCTAGGCAGGAATTATAGGCATGTACCACCACACCCAGCTAATTTTTTTTTTTAGTTTTGGTAGAGACATGATCTCATTATATTACCCAAACTGTCTTCTCCTTTTTTTCTAGGGCCTCCAGTCATAATGAATTAAGGACTTACCCAACTCCAGTATAACCTCATCCTAACTTACATCTTAGTTATGTCTGCAAAGACTATATTTCTTGTCTCTCTCTTTGTTCTTCGCCCCTCGGAGAGAGAATCTCACTCTGTTGCCCAGGCCAGAGTGCAGTGTCATCATAGCTCACTGCAACCTCAAACTCCTGGGCTCAAGCAGTCCTCCTGCCTTGGCCTCACAAGTAGCTCAGACTGTAAATGTGTGCCACCATACCTACCTAATTTAAAAAATGTTTTTGTAGAGGCAGTCTTGATATTTTGCTCAGGCTGATCTTGAACTCCAGGGCTTAGACAATCCTCCCATCTCCCAGAGTGTTAGGATTACAGATGTGAGCTACCACATCCAGCCTATATTTCCAAATAAGATCACATTCACAGGTACCAGGGCTTAGGAGTTCCAACATATTTGGGGGGCAGTTAGGGATGGCAGGGGTGGACACACAATTGAACCCCCAATAATGGCTTTGTCAAATGTTACTATTTTATTTCTGTTGCAGGTTGGTCTATTCTCTCTCTTTAGTAAACTGTGTATCGAGAAAACCACTGACTACATTGTGACTAAGAATAATATTTAAGCATTCATTCAGTTAATTTAGAGTACTTATTTTTGTTAACTAGTCTCATGATGCAATAATGTGCTCATTGGTCAATTTTTTTTAATGGCATATAGTTTGCATACTTTAACACTGAAGACAAGGTATATATTAGTCAGTATTTGTTGGAAATATACATAATTTACTTGAGATTTTTAACAGAAAAGCCAATTTAATACTTCTAGAAATTGGAAACTCTTCAATATATAGATTCCAGTTTTGGAGATATTCAACTTTAGTTGCCATCAAGTGTTATATAATAATGCTTTTTCTCTTTTCTTGACATCTACCAAAGTAGGTTATTTTATTTAAACAATTTTCTTGACTTTCATGGTGTCTGTCACTTTTTTTTAAGTAATTTGTTTTTCTTTGTCTAAAAATAAAACCTAATGTAATGGCTTTAAAAAAAATGTTGCTATAAGGCTTACAGATTTGTAGCAGTTTTCGGGTTGGGGGGTGTGGTCAGAGCAGGTATATTATACTTAAAAATGCCAGACTCTGTCTGGCAAGTTTTAATAAAAGGTGTTTCTTTGGTTTTGTTGTATTTCATTATCTATCACCCAGTTTTCTTTGCAAGTTACTATACTCAGAGTGTCAGAAAATAGAATATTGAGTTTTAAAACTGCCCTTTAAACATTTAAAAGATGAGTCTGCCAGAAAGAAAACCTGGGCTGTTTGCTAGTCTAGGGCTTTCTTAGTTGGCAGTTGAAGATATTTTAAATTTCCATTTCATATAGCTAGGACAAATAATCAGAATTAGTTTTTCTCCTTTCCTATGTTAAATAGTTTATCATCATTATTAGAATTGTATCATATATAATGACCATAATATTTTTTTCTAGGATGCTGGGAATCTACATGGATACATTAAATATATTTATGCGAGTTGCAACTATGCTAGCAACTGGAGGCAACAGAAAGAAATGAAGTGACTCAGCTCCTGGCTTCTCTCCTACATCAGATATCTTGCTTGTTTAATAGGGCAGATATTCATTAAATAGTTTGTACAAGCAGCTTTTGTTGAAGCTTAGAAGATAAGAACATATCAACATGTTTTAAAATGTTTCAGTAATGTAATGCTTCAGGTCTGCTTTTTCTTCTGGAGAATAAATTCAGCAGTACTCTTCCTAATAAGCACACACATTTCTCATGTTTGAATAATTTTAAAATATCTTAATGAATGTGAAAACTAAGGTTTGTGCTATGAGAATATAAGTATCAATTTTTAAATTCATTAGGTTAAGTAAAAAGTAACAAACTTGTGTCTGCCTGTATATTTTTTGGAATGTAGAATAATGTGAGGTCATAAGTGATGAAAAATTTTGATAAAGGGACCAGGGGTAAGGTAAAGGGTCATTTTCAGTCTATTTTTTTTAATACTTAGGACTTAGCACTCAGGTGATTGGTGATGAGCCAGTGACAGACAACTGGATATTTGGAGACAAAAAATGCTGTTTTTATATGTATCTGCTGAACTTAGCAGAATTATTGAGCATTAGGCAAAGGCACAGGTGATGCATTTTCTTGCTGTTGCTTCTCAGTGTTCTCTTTAAAAGTAGGTGTGGTCATGTTTGACTTCTCATTGTTAGGACAGTCCAGAATGTTAATCATATGAAGGAAAAATTCCTGGTGGAATTATATGTGTGTGAGTTTTACATCTGAATCTTCTGAAATGAAATATCCTTAAAACTATTCTCAATATAAAATATCCAAAGCATGAATTTATTGCTTTTCAAACATGCAAACAATATGTTCATGATTGCTGGGGTTTTCTTACATATTTATTGAAATGTCTAATTGAATTCAGTCTTGCTTTTCTCATCTCTTCAAGCTTTGAAGCCTTTATAGAAAAGCCTCTTTGTGGCTTACACTTGAGGATATGAAAGCAGTTCTCCTAAGACTGTTGATTTCTTGTATGCCCTCTCAGACTAAGCACTAAAAAGTAAAACAAAACTAGTTGTCTTTATAAAGTATATCAGTAAAGGTAGGTAATGGTGAAAATGCTTCATTAGTTTCCCTTAGCAGAATTTTCCTTCTGTCCTGCAGAGACCATTACTTAACTTTCTTGTGACACAAGTTTTTGATACAGAAAAGTTATTTTTTGACGTCTGTAATGAATGGAAAGTCTGTATTGTTAAGATGATTGCTATTTTTGACATTTATTACAATAATCCAGAAATAACTAATTAACCATCTCAAAATACATAGGATGCTTATTTCTGAAATAATAAAGGCTCCAGCCAGATGGTGATTGTTCTAATTTTTCCAACTGAACTATATATAAACCATTTGAATAGGGATTTAAGAAAGCAACTTAGTGCCTTGCCAGTATAGTATAGTACAGTGTGATAAGACTGATAGTAGTAGCTAGACTGCCTGTATTTGAATCCCAACTCTTCCATTTGTTTCTTATTTTTGACCTTGGGCAAGTTACTTAACTTCTGTGTGCCCAAAAGTAAAGGTAATAATAGAACCTCCCTCATGGGGCTACAGTTATATGTTCAGTCACTTAATAAGCATTATGTAAGTTTTAGCTGCTGATGCTTTTTTTTTTCCTAATAATATAAATGCCAAACTTCTACTTTTCCTCAACCTATGCTCATATGTATAGAGTATCGATATGATCATGAAGTGAAATATTAAGGGGCCTATTTAGTCACCTTTTAGAACCCAAGGTTTGTTTATATATATATATATATATACACACACACATTTTTTTTTTGGATGTTATCACTCACAAAACAAAGTGATACGATTTCAACAGTGGTATCAGGCAAACATTTATCTAGAAATTCAAGAGTATTTTTGTAATTTTTGTGACAATTTTATTTTAGCGCTTTTTCTGACTTTCCTAAGACCATGAAGACTGTGTAAAATAAAATGTAAAAGATGAGTTAATATACAAAATGTGATTACTTATATAATAGTTCTAAAATGATTTTTAAAAATCACTAGTTTCTTGGTTCCTGTGAACATAACTCAGGGCTTTTTGTTCTTTACATCATTCATGAGGAAGAGTAAAGACCTGCAAATTGATGGGCTTTAGGCAAAAAAGAAAGGAAAATCTCTATTTTTCATTCTCTAATGCCATCTGAAGTATTAAATATGTAGTTTAAAATAATCACAACAAAATGTTGCTTAGAATGGTATCTAATGAACATTTGATTGGAAAACATGGATGCCAACATGGTGTATCAGTCACCATGCTAGCCAGACCTAGGGCGACAATAATGAATAAAAGCAATTGTCTCCTAAAGTAGCAACCCTATGTAAACACAACTGTGGTTCAGTGGATGAGTGCCAAAGACAGGTGAACAAAATTGAAATGCAGAATATTAAGTTTCTAAGATGTCCCAGGAATGGGCCAGGTAAAGTGGCTCGTGCCTGTAATCCTACCATTTTGGGAGGCTGAGGCAGGAGGATTGCTTGAGCTCAGGAGTTCAAAACCAGCCTTAGCAAGATCAAGACCGGGTCTCTACTAAAAATAGAAAAATTAGTTGGGTGGTGCATGCCTGTAGTTTAAGCTAACTCAGGAAGCTGAGGCAAGAGGGTCACTTGAGCCCAGGAGTTTGAGGTTGCAGCAAGTTATGATGACACCACTGCACTCTACAGAGGGTGACAAAGACTCTCAAAAGAAAAAAGCATCAAATAAGATGTCCCAGGAGGAAGTTTTCAAGAGTGAATATAGCAGGTAAGGCACATAGAAAAAGGTAGTTGGGCGCATTTCATACATGGGGAAGGTGGAGAAAGAAATGGAAATTCCTTTGAAGCCAGATTTCCCACTCACTGCAGGTATGTGTGTTGTGCCTAAAGTGTTAGAACCTGGGAAGAAACAGTCAAGTTTCCCTTTAAGTTCATCTGCATAGCATGTGTCCATGTTAAAGGTACTGAAACTAGATGATACCAAAGATTTATATAATTCTGGCGGGATAGGGTGATCCAGATATGCTAGTAATAATTAATGTTAGAACGGAATATTTTGTATATCATGTGCTAAGCCCTTTTCCATAAATTAGAACATTGCTTTAAGCTAAGTATTGTCCCCTTTTTGCAGAGGAGTAAACTGAAGTCCCAGAAGTTTGATCTTTGCACCTGGTCATATGGCTGGGAAGAATTAACGAGTTGAACTCCATAACCAATTACACAGGGAAGTTCACGATGAATGTTCTACGTCTGTGGTCCCCAACCTGTTAGGGACTGGGCCGCACAGCAGGAGGTGAGGGAAGCTTCATCTATGTATTTAAAGCCTGTCTCTGGCATGTCACCACCTGAGCTCCAGCTCCTGTCAGATCAGCTGGGGCATTAGATTCTCATAGGAGCACGAACCCTACTGTAAACTGAGTGTGAGGGGTCTAGGTTGTGCACTCCGTGTGAGAATCTAATGCCCCCACCCCCACCGCTGGTCTGTGGAAAAACTGTCTTCCATGAAACTGGTCCCTGGTGCCACAAAGATTGGGGACTACTGTTCTTCATCTAAAACCCTGTTTGAGGATCACAAAAGCACTATACAAATTAAATAGGTTAAGATTTTGTTACATTGTAACTCGATTTTACTGGTAACCAGTATTCCCAGTTATTGAAAGGAAATAACCTAGAGCATTAGAATTTTAGTTTTTATCTAAAGGAATTGACCTCAGTGAAGGATAAATGGAAATCATCATACATTACTTCTTCAGTAGTCCCTTTTCATATTGCCAGGCCCACCTGGAGATACAAATCAAACCATTTGTTAAAGGTCAGTGTAGTCAGTAATCCTTCCTAAATGCACCCAAGTTAGCTAGCACTCAAAATGGAAACCATTTCTCAGGAAAAGAGGGGAAAGCTATGACCTTGAGGACTTTATGCATTTAAAGTTAGAGTCTTTGTGAAGCAGTCCAGGGAGATGAAAGTTGAACATTTGTTGACTCTTGAGAACAAGCGTTTTGTGCCAGACAGAAGCGAAAGTGAAACTAAATAGAAGAGGAAGGAGGGGGGTCTGTGGACCATTCTGACCAGTGTGTCCCGGCTGCTGGCCAGGCGTGCAGGCGTACAGCACGAGCCCTTCCCCGAGGCCCCGGCAGCTCTCCGGGTTCCTCGCCCAGTGCAACGTCAGGGACTTCTCTCAGCCTCCCCCCCTCAACTGAGTTTGGTGGATGGTGGGCGCGTTGCAACCTCACTGGGTGTGGATAAAAGCCTTGGTGGTCCCCATGGCTACACCCAGAGATAAAATTGATATGTTCAGGCAGGACTGAATTGACATTTTTCCTCACAACTGTGCACACAAGTTTAGAAGTGGTTTTTAAACATTCAAAACATGCTTTACAGTGGCATTTTGTAAAAGCTGCCCGATGGCCAGCTGCCGCCGTTCCTCCAGGTTAACCGTCCACGTGCCTCCTGGGTCACCTGTGCGTCCAAGTGGCTTTAAGTAGTCAACACAACTTGGAGAAACGGGTTGTGATGATCCCTTCATTTATTTGCTTAGCAGTCATATTTCTAAATTCTAAGATGCAGTATTTTACATATTTCATTTCTGAGGTGTGCCATTTTTTTTTCTTTTGCTAAACTAAATAGCATGTCTTAAATCAATGGTATTTTAAAATGGAAGAAATAGAATATTTTCTGGTGGTTTGGTTTCCATAATTTTCTAACAATTCATTCTCCTGTAAGAACAGGTATCTGGAAAATTGTCTTTTGGTAAATGACTGTGACAACTAATTACTGATGATTCAGAGGGGGATCTTGCACAAGAAAGAACGAACAAGCTGGCCCCACCCAATTATGTACTTTTTTTTTTCTTTGCTTAAACGACAGATTTATTTTCTTACACTTCTGGAGGCTAGAAGCCCAAGTCCCAGGTGCCAGCATGTTCTGTTTCTGGTGAGGGATCTCTTCCTGGCTTGTAGATGGTGGCCTTCCTGCTGTGTCCTCATGTGGGTGGTGAAGGTGGGAGGGTGGGGGGAGAAAGGAAAAGCCCAGTAAGTACTTTAGGTATGCGGGTTGAATGGACCAATTTCAGCAATGCAGAATGATGACTCCCAAACAGTAATGTGAAAGGAAGGAGAGACGGTACAATCTGACGGTTCCAACGGAAAGTGAGGGATGTTTGGTATTCCGTGAAGGAATCAACTCTTTTTTTTTTTTTTTTTTTTAGCAAAATTATTTCCCTTTATTCTGTGGATCTTCACTAACGTAAATAGAAATGTGCATGATTCATGTTAATTTTTACATGATGATGAGAAGGCTTCTGGAGAAACTCCCACTATATATTTCAGAAGATCTTCAGGGAAGGGGCTGACTTGTCTTAACTCCCAATGGGCCTGAAGGGATACTGGCCAGACTTTCAAAGTAGCTCCTCGAAAATAGATTGATCTGTTTAGAACAGTCCATTCACCTGCTCAGTTCCGGGGTCCAAATCAATATCATAAAAGCGGGGCCGGGTAGGAAGTCCAGGCATTGTGCTCATCGTTCCTACTAAGGGGTACAGAAAACCAGCCCCAACCCTGGCGCGGATGTGGCAAATAGGCAGAACGAAGCCTGTGGGCACGCCTTTTTGCTCTGGGTTGTGAGACAAAGACAAGTGTGTCTTGGCCATGCAGATGGGTAGATGGGATCCCAAAGCCCTGCTTCATGTAGACTTCGGCTTTGTGCTGAGCTTCGGGGAGCAATTCAATGTCATCTGCCCCATAGATCTTCTGCGCAACGATCCTGATTTTATCCTCAACTGGGAGCTGGAGGTCATAAAGGAGTCGGAAGCTGCTGGGTGCTTGTGCGGCTCTCTGGACTGCCTGCACCAGGGCTAAGGCCCCCTTGCCCCCTTCTGCCCAGTGAGTGCACTTCACAGCATCAAAAGCTCCATGCTTGGACAAGACGGATGACGAGGTCCAGCTCAGCCTCTGTATCCGTCTTGAACGCGTTCACAGCCACTACAACTGGAACTCCAAACATTCTGGCATTTTCAATTTGTTTCTTCAAGTTACTGAAGCCTTTTTCGACCAGCTCCAGATTCTCCTCTATGTAAGCCTTGGGAAGAGGAAGTCCAGCGGTGACCGTGGGGCTGCCCCCGTGCATTTTAAGAGCCCTGACAGTAGCGACGAGCACCACCACGTGAGGGCGGAGGCCAGAGTGCCGGCATTTGATGTTAAAAAACTTTTCCATTCCAATGTCTGCTCCGAATCCGGCTTCGGTCACTACAAACCCGACAAGCTTGAGTGCGACCCGGGGAATCAACTCTTGGCACCAACTGTGGGGAGACAAGGATGAACTGCTGGAAGTGGGTCATTCTAGCAGGCAGCATCTGCTGGCAGTGGGAGTGGGCGGTTAGCCAGGAGGGGTCTGATACCAGTGAGAGAAGGCAGCCGGCTGTGCTGACCTTACAGCAGGCAGTGCTGGAGGCAGAGGCCCTCACCATAGGTGGAGCCCTCACCCAGCAGGGTTAATGGTCGCGATTCACTCTTTTACAAGATCAAATTAACATATCTATTAGGCACTCTATTAAGTAGTAATAGAGTAGTTAATCATGAGAAATAGCAAGAAACACTTAAATGATTCAAGGTAGTTATAGAGTCATTATCTAGAAACTACAAAAGGATCATCCAGACTAATTGCTACAGTTCAGAGGAAGGGGGCCGATGTGCTGAGCTCACATAGGAACACGACGTCCACACACGCAAGCGCAGAAGGTCGGTGCTCTGATGGTTGGGGATGTCTGGCCCAGCCACACGTGCAGCTTGTTGGAGACTGTCCTGCCGGCCTTTGCAGAGGACTCGACCTCCTCTGCCTGCAGGACCCTGACCAAAATGTGGGTGTTCATGAAACACTGTAAAATGTCCTGAGGACTCTGCCTGTTGTGGTCACAGTCAAATGATGTCACCCTTAACCATACTGGGGCCTCAGAAGATGCAAGTATGATCGACTGCCTCAGTTAAATAGAAGAGTCAGGGTTTTTTTTCTTTTAGTAGAATTAGAGGGTACAAGTTGAATTCCAGTGCCTGTATATATTGTGTAGTGGTGAAGTCTGGGCTTTATACCTGTCACCTGAATAGTGTACTTTGTACTCCATAGGTAATTTTTCATCTCTTGCCCTCTCCCTGCCCGTGTCTTATGAGTCTCCAATGTCCATTACATAGAATTTTAAAAGAAGTTGGAGAAATTATGATAAGATTTTCACTGTTAATCTGAGTGACAGAAAAAAATGGACATTTATTAAGAAAATGAGGTGTTTTGGTATCTTTTTTAGTATATTCTAGCTGCCCCTAAATGATTTTTTAAAAAGCAAAGTGTGCATGGAGAGAAAGTGAATGTCATGGAAACACTTTACAAGGAGCTTGTCAGATTTTTAAACGAGTGGGAAGGCCCAGGAGAGCACATCTGTGCGCCCTGCGGAACTGGCCCAGAGCCTGCAGGGCCTCCTGCTGGCTCCTTCAGCAGGGTTGCAGCTCACCCAGGACTGCACAGCTCCGGCTGCACCTCACACGGCCCCGCCCTGTCCTTGTGTTGCTGGGTGTGGGGCTGAGAATAAGGAGGCAAGGTGACACCTGCTTTCTGGGAAGCCCGCTGTCAATGTGCAATAGAGGCTGACAAACAGGATCCATCCCAACCCCACCTGCAGTTCTCCGGCTCTCAGCTCTGGCAGAAACAGGAACCCCTGGCACTGCTGTTTCTCCTTTCTGCACACGGCCCTCCTCTCTTGCACTTGCCCTCTTTTCTCTCACCTTTCTCCATCAAAATCCACATTTGGAAATGGGTCTGATATCAGTCATTTAGACCTAAATTTCTCTGTGTGTTTCATTTGCCCCTAACTGTGGCAAGAAAGTCATTCCACGTCAAAGAAGCACCAGATACCCTTGAGCACAAGTGGGGAGTTGGTATTTTTCCAGTACAGGATGCCATTGCAAAAGGGAGGGAGACCCAGCAATCCCTCTTCTGGGAATATAACCTAAGGACTTGCAATCAGTATGTTGAAGAGATGTCTGCACTTGCATGTTTGTTGCAGCACTATTCACAATAGCCAAGATATGGATGCAATGTCAGCATCCACAATTGGATGAATGGATAAAGACAATGTGGTATGTATGCACAATGGTATACTGTTCAGTCTTTAAAAAGAATTAAATTATGTCATGACAACAAGCATGAACCTGCAGGACATTATGTTAAGTGAAATAAGCCAGGCACAGAAAGACAGTAAAAACCACGTGTTCTCACTTACATGCAGAATCTAAAATAATCAAATGCATAGAAACAGTACAGTGGTGGTTACCAGGGGGTGGGGGTGAGAATGGGGGGAATGGGGAGATGTTGGTCTCAAGGGTAGAAAATTGCAGTTAGATAGGAGGAATAAATGATGAATATACAAGGGGATGGATATGTTAATTAGCTTGATTCCATCATTCCACATGGTATACATAACACTATGTATGCCATAACTATTAATATATATGATTATAATTTGTCAAAAAATTTAAACAAACCTACATTATTAGCATGTCGTAAATTAAATAATGAGAATTATGCAGAAGCTGGAAATCTAAACCAGCAATTACAAGGTGAACCAAAAATATCTAGATATTTTTTTAAATCTTGGAAAATGGTATTAAATCTCAAGCATTAAATATAATTTCACTAGAATTTCGGGGTCAGGATGACCTTGTTTAGTTGCGTATTCTAAAGTCTTTTATCCTTAACTGTTGTTAATACTCAGCTATAATGAATATTTTGGGGGTAACAGAAAGAAACAGGAGGAAAGCTATGCACCCCAACCCTACTTTGAGAAATTGACCACCTAATATAACAAATGATTTTCACATAGCATGTAGCACTGTAGCATTACTCTCTCATCATACAGATCTGTTCCTCTCCAGCTCCAGCTGCTCTTTTACATTGAAAGAAATGGAGGCACAGAAAAGCAGAGCAACTTTTGCAGGGCCACACAGGTAAATGTAGTAGAGCTCTCGTGCTTTTAATAAGTGTAGGGGAGGTGGAAAGACAGAAATTGAACACAAAGGTTCTGAGTCACTCACTCCAGGCTGAAAACATGGGCTAGGTGAGAGGGGGAGGGGACAAAAGGCAAAAAATGGAGGGGGAGGGGAGAGAAAAGCCAGGAGCCCAGGGGCTATTCCCATCACAGGTTGAGACTGTTGTTCAGGGGTGGAGAACTGTGGCGTGGCCTTCTAGGTCCTTAAGTGTGGCCTTTTGACCCGAATCCAAACTTTACAGAACAAATCCTTTTATTTTTATTAGTACACTTTTGTTCATCTTTTTTTATTTTTATTTTTAAAATAAACATATTTAAAATACCAAAGAATAAAATAAGTTTCAACAAAATAATCCTCCCAGATTGACCAGCACAATTAGAACATCAGTAAACTGTAAGAGCTAAATTGACAGCTGCTATGCTCCTGGTTTAGTGCTAACTTCCCCTGCTTGACTGGCACCACTACTGCATGAGGCTGGTTGGTGAGAGTTTATGGGTGTTGAGTTCACCAGACTGTTATCAGCTTTTGATAAGGGTGTACTGTGTTCCTGTTTGAAGTGGAATTTGTGAATAGTTGCACAGCTCAGTGATATTTTTTAATTCTATCTGCTTAACAGCCTATCATGTCAAAGAAGATCAAGAACACTGAAGGAAGAAAACAGATTTTTAAATGAGGATTGGGAATTACAATATTATCCTGTTTCTTCTAAAGATAAGATGATTTGCTTGTTTTGTGATACTGCAATATCAATCAACATTAAAGAAATGCAGTGCTCATCAGCATTATATTAATAATGCTCATAAGGACACACATATTTTAAATTAGATAGAAAAACACTAAAGGTTGTATTGCAGAAATTAAAAGATGAAAAGAAAAAGCGAAGACAATTCTTTTAAATGCAATGAGACTTGGAAATAATGCCACTGAAGCAACTTGTAAAGTAGCTTATATACTCAGGAAAAAAGGGAAGCCAGTCAGTGGTGTAGAAATTGTAAAAGAATGCATTGTCAAAGTTGTAGTATGCTTAGACCACAATAATGTTTCAAAGTACAAACAACTGCCTCTTTCAAGGAGAACCATAACTGATCAGCAGCATGAATTAGGCTTGAACTTAACAGAACAACTTCATGAAATACTTAAAAAGTAAAATATATATTATCCAATCACTTCAGATAAATCAACTGATACTACTGACTCAGCACAGGTTTTATACTCATTCAGGTCATAACAGAAGATTTTCTTTGCTATGAAGAGTTACTCACTTCGGGGCACTCTTGAGAATAGAACACAAGGAATAGATATCTTCAATAACTTTTAAGAACAATTTTGTGAAGTTGGACTGAGTTTGGTAAATTTAGTCAGTGTATGTACAGATGGTGCACCTTCCGTGACAGGAAAACATGAAGAGTTTATTACGTAGATTTAGAAAGTATTAGCAGATCCAGATGCTCTCATTTCTTTTCATTGTATCTTGCTTGCATCAGGTAGGTCCTCAGTCCCCCACTCCAGGCTGACAACGTGGGCTGGGTGTGATAAATAATAAATAAATAATGAATAAATAAGTAAATAGTGCTAAAGCTACTATTTTAAATGACACTTTGCAACGAGTCATAAGTATTGTTAACTATGTTTCTGCAAATGCAACATAATATCATCAGTTTCCTAACACACTAAAGTTGAATGATGAGGTATCCAGTGTGATTTGCCTTATTCTAAAATACATTGGCTATCGCAGTGATAGGTGTTAGCCACAATTTTATCTCTGCAAGAACAGATAAATTTTATGAAGAAAAGAGTCAACAATGTGAATTATTAAAAGAAGATTTCTATAGGAATGCAGCATTCGATATGATGTAAAATCGAAATGCTTTTAATATTTCTTTGCAATGTAAAACTAAGTCCATATGTGATATGTGGCAAAAAAAAAAATCCAAGCATTTCAAAAAAGCTATATTTTTCAAAACACATCTTCCTCAAAAGGAAATTTTGAATGAATATTTTACCTAGGTAGCAAAGGTCACTGATGAGCAGGGTGATACATGCAAATCATTTGAAGAATACGAGGTTGTCATAGACCTATTAATTGGAGAATACAGCGAAGATTCACTGACTTTCCGAATCATGACATCACACTCAAATTAGCATTTTAGTCTCACCCAATTGATATCACCAAGGCACCTAAAGAACTACAGATGGAATTGATTAAACCCTCAGTAGATGACATTTTAAAGTCATTATTTGATGCTAAATGGAAAAATGCAGTCGAATACCCATGCCCTCATCAACATGCCTGAAAAATGCTTTCTTGCTTTTCAACCGTTTATTGTTGTGAATCTACATTCTCTTACCTAACTCAAATCGAGACACCCTGAAGGTCACAAACGACTGATACCCATATGGAGGATCAACTGAAACTGCGGACCTCCATGCTGCAGCCAAATATTCAAGTACTTTCCAACAACAAGCGGACACAACAAAGTCATTAAAAGGTTAGTTAACTTTAAAATTAACAAATAGCTTTCATTTTTGAAATGACTAAGTACATAGTACTTAGATTTTATACAATAATGTACATTTTTAAGTATATCTAATTGGAGTTTCTTGAATTCGGCCTTATTTGATCACAGCTAAATTAATGCGGCTTTCCAACAAGGAAAGGTCCCCCACCCCTGCTGTAGTTTCACAGGTGCTCCAACACCAACATGGAGTGGCCATGGGAGATGAGAAAAGCCAGTGCCTTCTAGCCCCTCTGGGGACCTCTGTAGCGTGGTCATGACATTCTGGCACGTTCGCAGTGGAGGAACCGCAGGCCTGCTGGTGGCCACCACGGTGACAGACCAACCCAAGGCATGTGAATGACAGTGGGAAATCCACAGCCCAAGTGGGAGCCAGGGGGACCAGCAAGGGTGGCAGCTGAAGGAACAGACCCCAATACCCCAGCCTTGACCCAGCAGCAGGACACCCAGAGGCAAGATCTGGTAAGCTGGAAGCTTCCAAGGAAGTTCAGACTAACTATAAAAAGTAGACAATTGAATAACCTTAAAAAAAAAAAAATAAGGGAAACTGTCAGGTTTTTGTACAATTTGGGAGTGGAGTGTAAGGTAAACATCAGTGTCGTGTGTTACTTTCAACTATACACAAGCTCTCCGTGGAGTTCTGGAAAGAACCTCAGCTTTGGAGTCAGACACACCTGGTTCCAGTGTAGAAATGCCCGTCACCTCTTTTGTGGAGTGAGGGGAAACTTTCCTTTGTCAAGTAAAAATAAAAAGGGAATTCCTGCCTCCCTGAAACAGGAAGAGAATTAAGTGAAAAGGCAAGGGAAGGATGGTGCCACCCTCCGATATAAGCTGATCTGCAGTTTGCTGAGCAAATAGAGGAGGGAGAGTCGTTTCTGATCCATCTCGGGGCCCATAAAACACTCTTGGAAGAACAGCGTAGCAGCTGGGAGTGAAGCGTGGGACTCGGGCCAAAAGTGCTCTAACTATAAAGGGTGCGGGTGCTTCAGGCTGTTCCCTAACTGGTCTTAGAAATTACACATTTGACTTGAAAATTTTTTTCTTCCTTGTGAATTCCCCAGAGTATTGGGTGTGTCTCCGGAGACTTTTTTCTCAGGAAGGCGGCCAAGCTTTCAAAATCAACTTTGGAAATCATTCAAAGCCTCAAATTTGAGTATTATTTTTGTACCCAAACTGCATATGCTCAAAACTAACAGGTGTTCCTGTTAAAATGCTTCTCATTTTCACCTCTCTCAGTTCAACATGAGATTTTAAATTTTCTGAAGAGCCAGAGGTGTTTCTTCCTTTTTTAAAGTAAGAAGTTGACAGCTCTCTTTGAAATGTTAAAAGCAGGTGAAATCTGTGAAAAGCAGCAATTGTCCCCAGGGAGTAAAGTGAGCACGGAACTTATACTTTAAACCCTGTGCTGTTTAAATTAGTGTGGGCATGGGTTGCTTCAGTGACTTTTTTTTTGTTTTGGAAAGCATTTTAAAAGCAGGTGGAATTCTGACATCTGAATCTATTCTTCTCAAGCAAGAAACATATGGTCCTAGGAAAACCTGCAAATCTATGAACTGTGTGTGTAAGTGGGGAGGGAACGGAGCCCTGAGCTAGCCTGTTCTTCCTGCTCTTGGCTGCCTAGTGCCCTTACAGCTGGCTCTGTTCTGTAGTGAGAAACTGTGTTGAGAGCCTACAGTCTGGTCCCGACTCTGTCTGAGTGGCTGAGGGATCTCGGGAAGATCAGCCAAGTCCTGGTTTAGTTGGCCAGTGGATCCAGATGAAGCTCTCGCTAAACTAGCCTGAGAGTCCACTCCTAATTTTCGCACCACTGCTGAGTGATTAGAGTTCAGTTTTATGGGTTGACCTCGTCCCTGCCACCTCTACCCGGTGGATGTTCTCTTCCTCTCTGACGATGGTTTGCCAAAAGCAACAAGGAGCCGTTTCAACATAAAAGGTACCTGTTATAACAGGTAACAGCCAAAGGTGTGCTGATGCCCAGAGGACTCAGTGGCAATACTCTTAAATGACCCCAGAGAAAAATAAATAGTAGTACTAGTCCTCGATATGGACTGTGGATGTAATCCTAACCTTAGGAAGAACCTTTAGGGAACTATGTTGAGTTTACCAGGCTATTGTGGGCCACCTCAGTAAGAGCAGCGTGCTGGCTAGCAAACCCAGCCTCAAGAGGAGCCCCACCTTCTTGCTGGCACTCCTTCCAACAGTGGCTGTCCCCAAACCTCTCTTGAGCTCCACCTCTGCAGCTGTCCCCAGTAGGTAGACTCCAGGATCTTCCTGCCCACACCATTCCGCACAGCCATTGGGACTCAGACAAAGCGTGGGAAGGGACTCGGGCTGGGGCGGAGTGGACAACTGACGTGGAATGATGTATTAAGCCCAGCGGCCCCAGCCAGTTTCCTAGTGTGGATTCGTTTTAAAGTTTGCAGATGTTGAAAAGCATAGAGGCTGACTGTCAAAATGTCCCTGGTCATTGATTTGCTCACTGAGCTGTCCAAGCATGTGATATAAATTGCTTCTCTAATCTGTAGCAACAGAGGAGGGTCAGTGACATGAACCACTGGCCAGTCTCTGGCAACAGGCAATGTCTACACTGGCTGCCAGGAACTAGGGAGACCCTGGAGAGCTGAACCAGGTACTGGCATCTCCCATGTGCCCTTCAAGGCTGGGAACCAGTGTCAGATCCTTGGTCAGAAGGATATATCTATTAAGGCAAAGGAGAGGTGAGCATCACATCACAAGAGCAAACGCAACTTCTATGCATGTGTACAAATGTGTGATACATGTGAGTGTCTTCACTTGCTGGTTTCCAGAAGGGAGCTTCTTAGGCTGGCCTATCTTCCTCTCTGCATCCACAAATAAAAATCACATTTATTCTTCAGCCAGGGACAGCCCCCACCCCATGCTTAACAACATGGAAACTGTCCCCCACGCATTTTCCTTTCTCCCTCCTTGCTGGAAGGGTGTTTGCGTGCTCCCCAGCTCTTTCAGCCTCTGGCCATTGAGCCGGGTTGCCTCCTCTTGCCTCAGTGTGATCTCCCAGCCATCTCCCGATGACAGCTTCCCTGGGCCAGGTGGCAGGTGGGTGCCACGGTGGACCCTCAGCATGTCCTCTCGTTGCAGAGCCCTGCACCGCTCACAGCTGACCGGAGAGCCCTGGCCAGGTGCAAAGGTGCAACAGGCCCACACGGCCTGCCACGACCCTTGGGGATCCTGCCCATCGTTCACCCCTGGGCCCAGACCCTGCATCTCCAGGAGCCCCCATCCAGGGGAAACAGCGTGCTGAGTGCTAAGAGTCACAGCACGTGTCAACGCCACCTTGAGGAGATCCTTGAGCTGGGGCTGGAAGGATGAGCAGGAACTGGCTTGGGAGTGGAGGCTTAAGGACCTCGGCAGGGTGTGTGGAAGCACACTAATCTCTCCTGAGGAACGTCCCTTCCACCCCCCACCCACCATCTCCCATAGGCCTGGGGCACTGGACTCCCCAACACCACCTGCGGCCAGGGCCGGGCAGGTGCTCAGGCACCCGTGTGCCATTATTGAAGGGACACCCAGAGACCCTCCCTGATGGAAGAGGAGCCCAAAGCACTCTTGTCATCAGTCTCTACCTGGCTGAAGGACCCCCATGCCTCCCTTTTTCATACCTTGGCCCAGGGGTCCTCAAACTTTTTAAACAGGGGGCCAGTTCACTGTCCCTCAGACCGCTGGAGGGCTGGACTATAGTTTTAAAAAAACTATGAACAAATTCCTATGCACACTGCACATATCTTATTTTGAATTTAAAAAACAAAGGGGCAAAAACTCCACGTGGCCCGAGGGCTGTAGCTTGAGGACGCTTGCCTTAGTCAGTCCAACTCCTCTGCTGGTCCGGAAGCCCACACGACCTGGCTTACCATGCCGGCCCACCTGCCCTCACCCTGCCCAGTCTCAGCCCTCTCTGCAAAGTCTCCGTTCCCCATCCCACCCCTGACTGAACAACCCACCTCCCTGGCCTTTAGCACGGACAGCACTTACAGTGTCATGTGGTGGTCACTTGTCTACACAGCTGCCTCCACCAGCAGAAGCTCCCTGTTGGTCGTCTGTGTCCCTGGGACCAAGCACATGACCCAGCCCAGGGCATATGTTCAATGAATGGGTGATGACTGGGCCTCCTGCACCTGTGGGCAGACTCTCCCGATGCCTGCCCCAGCCGGAGGCTCCCTTCCTCCAGGTCTTGAATGAGGCTGACCCTGCACCTGATGTGCCCTTTCGTTTCATCACTGTCTGAAACATCAAGGTCCAGCTGTGACCCCACACCTTTAACGGCTGTGTGAGCATCCGGCTTGGTGCAGATGGCTTCTTGTACCCATGCTCTTGCAGGCTGGTGAGAGAGGTAGCCCTGTGCCCATTTCAGACAGGAAGAGGACTCAGAGACATTCAAGGACAAGTTCAAGTTCACACTACTGATCAAACCCAGGTCGTCTGACTCCAGGGCCTGTGCTGTCTACATTTCACCAGCTGCTCAAGACGTGGTCCTTCTCCCAGCCACATCTGAGGAACGAGCAGGAAGAATTGCATTTGATGGAATTTTTACTGACACTAAAAGTTAACATTCAACCCTGGGCAGTGGCTCTTCCCCGGCAGAAGGTTCCTGCTCTGGCCACCGAGGCTAGTGCCGGGAGCTCTCCCAGCTGGGCATTTACAGCTCTCTGTGTCACAGGTCACGAATGCTTCTTGAAAAGCTGGTTTTCTTCTTGGGAGAGGCTGACTCTACCCTTTGGGAGAATTCCAAGTCTGTTGGTGCCCTGCCCATTGGGAAAACCTCTCATCTCTGTATAAATGTCCGAGGTGGCCTCAAGGGAGGACTTCTGCACGCAGCTCCCTCCTCAGGACACGAGGTTCCAGGTTCTGCCATCTCGCCATGAGGCTTCTAGTGCTTTCCAGCCTGCTCTGCATCCTGCTTCTCTGCTCCGTCTTCTCCGCAGAAGGTAGGGCTGCCCCGGGGTGTCGGGTCTGAGCAGGGATTCCAGCATCTGGGATTCCAGCATCTGGGATTCCAGCATCTGGGATTCCAGCATCTGGGAAGGTTCCATTCCTGACCTGTGGTGGGGGCAGGCCCCGGCAGGCAGTGCTGGGCCCTGGAGAGACAGGGATCTCGCTCCTAAACTTCCGTCACACCTCCAAGCACAGCGGCAGCTCCAGCAGGTGGCTCGGGGGCGTCAGGCCCCACAGTCTCTGTCCACAGCCCCTGCTCTGCCAAGGGTGCTCACCACAGTAGCACACGCACAGCCAGCAGAAGTTGCCCACTCTGACCCTGGAGGCCAGTGCTGGGAGGTCTCCAGGCTGGGCGCTTGCATCTGGGTTGCCGTGCCTACGTCCTACCTGTCTAGACATTCTGGAGCCGCTCCGCGGTGCGTGTGCCATGCTTGCACCAGAGCACATCAGTGCTGGGCGACCCTCCGAGTCTGAACATCCCCAAACCTTGTGCCCGGAAAACAACCACGGCAGATGGGATGAGCGAGTCTGTGGTTGGGGGCGGGGTATGTTTATGCGTGTTCAGAAGTGAGGGGCATGTTCTTTTCATCTCTATGGATGTGAAGATCTAGCTCTCCTGCCTCTCTTGGTTCAGATAGCTGAGTATTTTGAGCTTTCCCTTTTCCCTAACCCTCTAGAAACTGTCTACTTTTATTTTTTGTTGTAGTGGTTATAGTTATTTTAACACTTTTTGGAGCCAGGGATATAAAAATATATAAAGAAGGGAAACACCCATAATTTCATGATTCAAGAATAGCCATGTTCAACACTGTGTTTATTTCCTTTCAATCTTGCACGCAGCATTTTAAAATTTAATGGACGTATCTCTATACGTTGACTATACGTTCCACATGTTGTCTTTTGTAAATTTATCATCATGTTATTGAAATCATCCAAAATACTTATGATTGAAGTTATTCTGGAAGCATTTATTACCAGAATGTCAGCAGCTGCCATCTCTGGGCAGGCAGATTATAGGAGATATTTGTTTTGTAAAGTTTCTGCAATGAAAATGTGCCATATTTATATAATACAAAAAACAGTGCATAGAATTCCTCATAAACACAGTCTATGGCATGCAGTTTATCAGACTCGTACGTTTGGACATGTTAGAGGTTGCCAGCGCTTCCCTAATGACAATTCAATGAGGATGAATATCTTTGCCCATAACATTTCCTATCCATTCAGGACTATCTCTGGTACATTCCTGAAGTGGTGTCATTCAACTAATATTTTAAGGTATAACTTGCCATCCAGTGAATGTGCTATGATAAATATGCGTGCTTAGACATTTACATGGTTCACACTTTGCACTATTTTAAGTATGTGGTAAAAGACATGTGTGTACATAAAATATTTTTCATATTCAGGCTTAGTTTCTCAGACTAGGTCACCAAGGGGAAAATGGCTGTGTCAAAAGGCACAGACATTTCCGAGTCACCCTGCCGAACTGTTTCTGGGACAGGAACATGAGACCCTGCCGAACTGTTTCTGGGACAGGAACATGAGGAGAATGCGTTCCGGGGGCAGAAAATCTGCCAACGTTGTTATTTCTGAAAAGCAAATTACAACAAGGCCACCCCTTCCCCTGGACCTGAGCCCCACTGTAGCCTGGCTGGATCTGCATTTCCTTGAATAAATATTTCTGAGCCCTGGGCCTTAGGAGTGGAAGCTCACTCAGGTCGTTCCTGCACGAACAGTTTCGCTAAGGGAGGGTCTCTACTCCTTTTGGCTACACTCAGGGAGACGGCGTCCTGCCAAGCCCTCGAGACTCAGGCCCTGCTGCCAGCGCGTTCCCAGCCACAACCCAACGGCCCTGAGAGGTAAGCGCCCACCGTGCCCCGACTGGGGGGGGGGCGGTTCTGCAGTGGCACGGGCAGGCCACACGTGCCGATCAGCCCCCACCCGCACCCGAGAGGGGGCACGAGTCCACGGTGGGCCACAGCCGCTGTGCTCTCAGCCCCACGGAGCTTACAGTCCCATGCTGAGGGAAACTGCTCCCCCCAAAAGGGGCAACAAATTAGTCATTTTGAACTGAATGTATCTGCCAAGGAAAGGAGCAGGATGCAATTAGACAATGGTGTGGGGGAGCACCCCTACCTTGGGTGGAGGTGTCTGTGGGAGCATCTCTGAGACCTGAGGGAAGGCCGGGAGCCCCACCTGGGGATCACGGAAGTAGAGGTGCAGGCGGAGCAGGCCACAGGGTTGAAGGCCCGGGTGGGCAAGAGGGAGGCATGGAGGACAGACAGGAGCTGGGTTGAAAGGTGCTCACAGGACCCACAAACCAAAGCTGCCTGCGAGTCCCCTGGACCTGGAGCAGGGCCAGCAGCTCAGGTCACCAGCAGGTGGGGGGTGCACAGGTCCAGAGGGCCCCAGCTTGGCGGCGGGTGATGCAGCCCCCAGAGGAGCAGCCAGGCAGCATTCCAGGCTCCACGCCCAGGGGCGAGGCCCAGAAGAGCAAGGCTGTCCTCTCCGGCAAGGCCTGAGTGGCACCAGCAGTGAGGGGAACAGGCCCAGGCACAAGGAGGGCTGCAGGCACCCAGCTCCCAGCGAGGGGGCCCCAGGCCTGGGGCAGACGGAGGCACTGCAGTCTCCTGGCCCAGGTGGGAGATCAGGGCTGCCGGCTGCCTTTGGTAGGAGAGTCCCAGAGCATGGGACAGGCAGGGCCACACTGGAGGCTGTGGAGCCTGACACCAACCCAGGGCTGCTGTCTGGACTCTCTGCAGCCGCAGTGCCCTCCCCAGGAGACCGAGAGAGCCCCCCGCCCTACTCTCTGTGGCCGTGGCACCAGAGCCCCCAAGCCCCGGCCAGCCACCAAGAGTCCTGTCCACAGAAGGGGGAGCTCGGATGTAAATGAGGGGGTGGACAGAGGGAGGGAGGGAGACAGGATGGCTCTAGCTGCAGACCTTTTCTCCGGAGAAGCTGACAGCCCCTCCTTCCAAGCTGGCATCGCACCCAGCGGGCAGGGTAAAAATAGCCGGTTCTCACACGCCCCTCCTGAACCGAGTGTGATGCGCCTGCCAGGCGAGGTGGGGGTGAGGCTGCGGCTCTGCTCCCCAGGCCTGGCGGGGGAGGGCGGTGCTGAGAAAGAAGGTGAAACCTTCCAAGGAGAGAGATGGGGCCGCTCCAGGGAGGGCTCATCCCCTCCCCTCTCCCCTCCCGCCTGCAGCACAGACTGCTCAGAGGTGGTAAAGAGAAGCAGAGGGGGTGTGAGCACCCACATATACACACACGTGCTACACACAGCTACACACAGACGCACACTATACACACACAAACCCGTACACAAACGCCCAGAGACACACACATATATATGCATTGCACACACAGAGACACATGCACACAGCACACACACGCACACACGCACGCACACACAAACAGTTCCTAGCAAACACAGCCAGGTTAACTCCCTGTGCACAGGGCTATGGGAGAAGGATCCAGGTCTGTGGCTCCTGTGTCAAGACTGGATTTCTTTTAATGTGTATATTTTAAAAATTCCATCGCAGAAAGCCGTAAACAACTTAGAGCAAGAAGAACGAAATAGATGTATTTATTAGGTCCTTACCATGCGATTTCATTTAAATCCTTGGAACCACCCTAGAGAAGCCTCATCACCATTGCATAGATTGAGAAACTGAGGCTCAGAAAGAAACTGAGGCAGAGCCAGAAGCCAGGATCTGTTCTCCTTTTTCCACCACAACAGAGTGCGTCCCCCAGAAAGAAAGTTTCCTGCAGAGTGCGTGTGAAGACCCGGGCGTGCCCCGTGGGCGGGGCGGCAGACTTCCCAGAAGGAAGCGCCATCTGGGCTGGCGTCTCAGCCCCACCACCCGCTAGCTGTGTGCCCTTGAGCAGGTCACGGCGTTGCTCAGCCTCAGGCCCCCCTCTGTGGAAAGGGCATGGAAGGGGATGGTGGTAGAATTGGCCTTAGCGGGCTACAGCGATGAGTCAGTGGGGCCATGTCCGTACAGCATTTGCACCCCGCCTGCCACGTGGCGCCCCTCGAACATGCCCTGCTGTTGCCGTGGAGGGGCCGAGCCCTGCCAGGACTGCTGGTGTGAGAGGCAGCGATTCCAGCACAGAAAACCAAAGCCTGTGCATTCCCGCCTGGGACTGATGGCTCCGCCTGCCGTCCATGGGGCTGGCCTCGGGATTCAGAGGGAAGGAGGGAGGAGACGAATGAGTGTTCCTGGAGTACTGCGCAAGCAACGGCGGGACCGTGACAGTGCCCCGTCCGCCTGCACAAGGAGAGACTCACCCTGGCTGCCTGGAGGGTGTCCGAGAGCTGACGGCCGCAGCCGCGCCACACACAAGCCAAATAGCGACTGGTCCTTGTTCTGAAGTGTCTTCCTTGGGCGCTGCTCTGTATCTCAGTGCCATGCAGGGCCCCTGGGGACAAGATGCGGGCGGGCCAGGGCTCTGGGTCAATGTGACAAAGCCATCTCCAAAAATTAATGTGCGAAATGGCTGATTTGCTGACTTTATTACATTAACCAATTTACTTTTTTTTTTAAAAAAAAGGCTTTCTCTAACGTATTTAGAAAGCCTGTGACAGTGCGTATAGCAGCACTGCCACAGCAGCGGTAGTTTTAAAATAACGTTCACTCTGCAGACTCGGTTGGCTCTGCACGGGCATCGGGCACTGGTCTCAAGCCCAGGCCGCTCGGCTTAAGCTGGGGTCAGACTGACGGCATGTGGACCCCTCCAGCCAGGAAGGCTGTGACCCTGGGGCCTTCGTCAGGCCTTTGGATGAGTTACGACAACTAAACTTATTTTTTTTTTTTGGCATGTAAGCTAGTGCTTACATGTCAGTTAATAGGTGCAGCACTTATGTCTGCTAACTTATTTAATGCTCAGAATATTCCTAAGAGTTAGATACTATTCTCATTTTCACAAGTGAGGAACTAAAGCACAGAGAGGTTAAGTGATTTGTTGGAAGTCACACAGCTAGTAAGTGGTAGAGCTGGGTTCTAAATAATCTGACTCCAGATTCTATGTTCTTAACTACCACTCCACATTGCATATAGTAAGAATTTGGAAAAAGGAGGAGAAAAAAAGAATAATCTCATTAGCATAACTTAATAATCTTTCTCATTCATGTATGTCTCCTTTTATTATACAAACATGATTTTTTAAAATAATTTTGGCTTTATTGAGGTGTAACTGATATACAAAAAGACTACATACTACAAACATATTTAATGCTTACAATTTGATGGATTTGAACATGTACACACAGTCATGAAACGGACACCGCAATCAAAATACTGAACATGTCCATCACTTTCAAAAGTTTCCCTGCCCTACTTTGTGTGTGTGTGTGGTGGGTAAAAACACTTAACTTGAAATCTAAATCCTAAATGTTTCAGTGTGAAATACAGTATTGTAACGAAAGGCACTGCTGTGTTCTGAACCTCTCTGGGACTAGTTCACCTTGCATAAGTGAAGCTTCCTACCAGTTGAGCAGCTCCCGGTTTCTCCCTTCCCCCTAGTCCCAGGCAACCACCATTCTATTCTGTTTCTGTGAGTCTGGGTATTTTAGATACCTCCTGTAAGTGGGATCACACAGTATTTGTCCTGCGTACACAAACATGTTTACCTGGTTTTATTTTTATTGTACCCTATTTTTTTTTAATTTTTAATATCAGCATTAGGTCATAAGCATTTTTCTTTGTGTTGCTACATAGTCTTCATAACCATGGGGTTTTGTCCTCAGGAAGCATTTCTATCACCATGAGGTATCATCACAAATTACGGATTTCTCTATCATAGGATATTCAGATCGTTTCCAGAACTTTTTCTCTGCAGTTAAAAACAAAACTAGGAAGAATAGCTTAATGCATGCAGTGTTTCCTTTCCTGTGGATTATTCCTCCCATAAAAGGGGCTGGTTCATAAAAAGATGCAAATGTGACTTTGGGCCACACATTGCCCGGCACATGCCGTCTGGGAGGAGACAGCGGGGTGTGGGGAGCGTCCGAGGTCCTGCACATCCAAGTGACACTGTCCACATGGCAGGCCCTCCTACCAAGGCACCAGAAATGGGCCTCTCAGACCCCGGTCAACTCAGGTGGGTTCTGCTTAGAATAAGCCACCTTCTCTCCATCTTTGGCTAGGAAATTAGACTTCCTCCTGCCGAGACTAAAATAGTCTAGGATGGTAGTGTTTGCCCTGAAACGCCCCTCTGGGCCTCCAAGAAGGAGGGCAAGATCTAATTCTTGCTTGATTTTTTTAAAAATCTTTGTGTTTGAAAATGATTCTTAGTTGTGTTTTTCTCCCTCTCTCCACCCTCCGCTCTTGTCTGCCCCTCTGCCTTCCTGTCCTTGTCCCTTTTATCTTCCAATCGCTCTTCCCAGGATACCTCCCACGACACCGCGCAAGGCTCTGCAGACTGTGCAAGCTCAACCCAGGGACCAGCTCTTGGGTGGTGCCTGGGGCCCTCCCTCAGGTTTAGCGCTCCTGCAGCACGTCTCTGGACAGCAGAGACCCTCATGCCCAGCGCTCGAGCCACCCAGCAGCCTCAAGTTGCCCCTTTCAACTTTCAGGGCAATGAGCTGTGATGTTGCAGGGCTTCATCTCAGGCACAGGGGCCCTGGGAAGGTTCTAGAGCTCCAGGTCCCAGTCCCCAGTCTCTGGTAGTCGAAGATTCCACCATGACCTGTGGGCAGCTACAAATCCAGAGACACACCAGCCTGCTGCAGTGCAGGGTGGCCAGCACCCAAGGGTGGCCAGCCAAGCCTGCAGAGTCTCGGCCGTCCTCAGATCCATTTGGTCTCCTGGCATTTAACCACCCAGCATGCAATGGCCCCTGAGGGACTCCCATCTTGACTTCCTGACATGAGATGAGTCTGCAGGAAAGAACATCCAATCCGAATACAGAGATGATAAATAAACCAACAAAATGCAGGGAGCGTCCTTGTTTGAGAAAGTCAATGACAGGGCCTGAGCCCAACTCTCTGCTAAAAGAAACGTGTCCCTGAAGCCTTCCCTGCCGGCTGGCCCCTTCATCACGGCACAATGCAGCCGTGTGGGGCGGGGACAGGGCCAATGCGTCGGGTCCAACACACCAGCACTGGACGCCCTGCCTTCCCCCGGATTTTCCGTGTGGCCTGGGCACGTCAGCCCCTTTTCTATAAAGTGGAGATTCAGGGCCTGTCCAGGGCTGGGCAGACACATGCAAAGTGCCCACAAAGACCTGGACCAGAGGGGCTTGGTTCAGGGGAGTCCCTGCCTTCCCCACCCCATCCTGGGGCAGCGTTTGTGCGCGGTGAACACAGCCAGAGCTGAGGCCCTGAGGGGACAGATGGCTCCGGTGTAAGAGGCTTATCTCGGGAAAGCTCCCTTCTAATCCGAGGCTCCCGCAAGGTGAGAAGCCTGGGGCACACAGGCAGAGGTGCCCGTCCCGGCTGTGGGGTGGCAGCACCCAGGGCACTAGGAGTCTTTGTCTTGTCACAGGCCACGCTCTTCACATCCCTTCCACACGCTTCTGTCCCCGGCCCACTCGCCCACCGCCCACCCAGCGCCGTCCAGGCCGGCAGCCGCTGGCAGACTCCGTCCACGCTGGGTTCCGGGGCTCAGAGACGAGCAAATACGGTCCTTGGCGTGGGGGAGGCAGTCGCCGGCCACAAAGCGGGGACCCCCAGGTGAGGACGGGGCGCCAGGCGTGAGGAGGGGCAGACGCCCGAACTGAGTGAAGGGAGGAGCCCCAGCTAGGGCAGGGGTGCTGGGTGTGGCGTGTCATGTGGGAGCCTGCGGGGTGTGCGTGTGGTAAATGTGGCCTTTGGCGTGTGGTGTGTGTGGTTTGTGTGGTGTGTGATGTGAGGGCATGTGGGGAGTGTGGGTGGTGGGGTGGTCATGTGTGGTCTGTAATGTGTGTGTATAATGTCTGTGGTGTGTGTGAATGTGCGAGGGTGTGGAATTTGTGTGTGGTGTGTGTATGTGTGCTGTGGGTGTGGTGTGCAGAGTTTATGTGTGCTGTGTGATGGTATGATGTGTGTGGTGTGTGTTCTTATGATGGGTGTGGTGTGTTATGTGTATGATGTGCGTGTTATATGTTTCTGTGTGGTGTGTGGTATGTGGTAGGGGGTATGCATAGTGTGTAGTGTGCGGTGGGGGATGTGTGTGTATAGTGTGTGGTGTGTGTGTACAGTGTGTGTGGTGGGGGATGTGTGTGTATAATGTATAGTATGTGGTGTGTGGTGGGGGATGTGTGTGTATAGTGTGTGGTGTGTGGTGTATGGTGTGTGGTGGGGGATGTGTGTGTATAGTGTGTCGTGTGTGTACAGTGTGTGTGGTGGGGGATGTGTGTGTATAATGTATAGTATGTGGTGTGTGGTGTATAGTGTGTGGTGTATAGTGTGTGGTGTGTGGTGTATAGTGTGTGTGTGTGTGTGTGTGTGTGTGTGTGTGTGTGTGTAGGGGTGAAGCAGGGCACGGCGAGGGCGTGCAGGAAGGCTGCAGTGTCTGGGGATAGCGCAGCCGCCCGGCGGCCGCAGCAGGGACTGAGGGAAGGGCGGGCGCGGCTGGGCCGCGGAAGGCCCTAGAACGCCGTCCTGTCGGGTGTTCTGGTTTGTCTCGGGAGCAGCGAAGGGCCAGCGGCCCTGCAGTGCTGGCCTTGGAGAAGGAGAAGGCGCAGCTCCTTTCCCGGGGCCAGGCCGCGTCTTCCTTTCATCTGCGCACACTAAATACCTGGTCTTCCTGCCCGCGCCCGCGGCGTGAGCTGTTTGCAGTGACATGGTGTAGCCAGCATGGGCAGCCACCCCAGGGGCCTTCCAGGGACACCAGCCCCTCAGAGCAGGTCAGGCCAGAGGGAGCCGGGGACGCTGCACCTGCCCTGCCCCCCAGCCCCTCGGCCCCTCTGTCCTTCCCCTGTGGATGAGGGAAAGCCTCGGACCGGCTCCCAAGCAACAGAGATGCCCACACAGAGCTGGTGGCCCGTGACCCTTGGGAGGCAGGTGCCTCTTCTCATAAAGATGCCAAAAACTTTCCTTCCCACTCTCACTGGCCGCCTCCAGAACTTGCAACGTGCACTTTTAAACATTCTCAGGGTGGGGGAACTTCACTCTACAAGGAAAGTCTTGTGAATAAGGCTATTCGAGCTCGGGGAGGAAACTCAGACACTTGGAAGTGACTTAGAAATAATAAAACTGCAATCCTTACATTAGCCTAATTGACTCCTTGAAGAATCTAGACGCTTGCAGGTTGCAGGTAGCATCATTAGAGAAAGTGTACAGTCTCCATGGCAACTAAAGGTGCCCACACTCCCTGAAGGGGTGGGACATCTGGCGTAATTGATGGAGCATGAGCCTCAAAGACAGATTCGAGTTCCAATGGTGGTTCCGTCGTGCACCCTCTGTGTGACATTGGGGAGGTCATGTGACCTCTCGGAGCTTCATGTTCCCCAGCTGCAAGATGAAGCTAGAACTGCCTGTCACCTCCCTCCTCATCTCTGGGCAAAGTGTCCAGGGTAAACCGCCAGCTGGAGCCCTGCAGAGTCCACGCAGCTGGTCACATGGTGACTCACCTTACCGACTCCACAGCCACTTCTGCTGCCTTGGAAGCATCGTAAAACTAGGATATGAGTGTGTTCCATGCTAGAGTCTGCTCTCCTCGTTGGTGGCTGAATCTTGCCCATTTATTAGGAGCCTAGTGACGTAGACAGCTCCAGAGACAACCAGCAGACTCACATTATCAACAGCTCCGTCTCTGGAAAAGGTCTGTGGAACTCATCTGTAGTTTAGCCTCAGTTAACCTGCACTGCCCTTCAGGACTTGCAAATATGAACCAGAAAGACGGGGTTGGGGGGTTGTCCAATTATAAGATGTCTACTCTGACAAGTCCCTTTCCATGTTAAACACAACCGTTTTGTTTGTTTGTTCAGCTCAATATTTAAGTACACTGTGGATGTGCACGCTTGCACGTGTACCACAGTCCCCACCACTCCCTATCGTCTTTCACCCAGCCGTTTCACACATTGCTGTTTCCTGCCTGGCTCAGCAGGCTTTTGCAGTGTATACTCCCTGGCTGCTCCACTCTGTCAATTTATGGATGGATCAGGGAAGGAGTGTGACAACGTCCTCAACCAGAAACCAAGTCTTAGGACGTTATCAGATGCTTCTCCGCTCATTCATTTATTCCCTCACACATTCAGCCACTCAACACCTACCCATGGGGCCCTATTGTGTGCCAGGCCCTATGATCGAAGCACAGCCTCCTCCCTGAATGGTTCACAGTCCCCTGGGAGAGACACACAGACAGATTATGGCACTAAAGTGTTTTAAGGACTCTATCAAGGTTCCAAGTAGAGGCCAGTTCTGCTTGGAGGCAGAGGCATGCCAGGAAAAAGAACCTTCTGGGGAGGGAGACATTCTTTGGTGTGTGGCAGGCTAGACAGCAAAGGAGACTACTGCAGGGCAGAAACAGGCAGAGCTGGAGCCAGAAGTTCTACCCCCCTGTGTAAGTGCCATGTTGACAGGAGTCAGGGTCAGCGGGGAAAGGGTCACTGGGGGCCACTAACCCACTAGATGAGGGAACAGGTGGCACCACAGAGTCCCTCAGTTAAACAAATAGGCATGGCCTCAGAGAAATAGGAAGCAAGTCCCATCCTCATGTCAAAGGAAACTGAGGCAGCCAGTCCACACCTGGCCTGGGCACAGCAAGGGAGCAGGGGAGGACACACGTCACAGAAGGTGAGTTTCAGGGGCTGCTGAGGCACACTGAGCCCACTGCTGTGGGGAGGGACTGCCAGCTTCCAGCCACGTGGGCACACCTTGGCCCAAGCCTGCAGAGGACCATCCTCAGGACTTCACCTGTTCTGGGAGAGACAGTACCTGACAGAATTGCATCCCAGAGGGTACACCCAGTGCAGGCGACACATCCAGGCCCACTTGGATCCACTGACAGCATTTTATCATGATCATGTGAAACAAAGATGCAGAAACATCTGTGCAATTTAAAGTGCATCTTGGCCGGGCGCGGTGGCTCACATTGTAATCTTAGCACTCTGGGAGGCCAAGGCGGGCGGATTGCTTGAGGTCAGGAGTTCAAAACCAGCCTGAGCAAGAGCGAGACCCGTCTCTACTATAAATAGAAGAAATTAATTGGCCAACTAATATATGTATAGAAAAAATTAGCCGGGCATGGTGATGCATGCCTGTAGTCCCAGCTACTCGGCGGGGCTCAGGCAGCAGGATTGCTTGAGCCCAGGGGATTGAGGTTGCTGTGAGCTAGGCTGACGCCACAGCACTCACTCTAGCCTGGACAACAAAGTGAGACTCTGTCTCCAAAATAAAATAAAATAAAATAAAATAAAATAAAATAAAATAAAGTGCATCTTTTTGGCCTAAGGGCCAGGCCAGAGTACAAACTCTGCATTGGACCAGAGCTTTCTTATCGTCAGCAGTCACGTTGCTGGGAATTGGTCGCCACACAGAGCAGTTCAGGATGCCAACATGCAAGGGCAGAGGTCAGTCTGCCAGACGGTGTCACTCTTCCCATCCCAGACCACTGGGCAGAAGCAGGGTGCTGGATAACTGGGACGACTGCGTACATGCACTCTTGCCCTCTTTAGCCAGTGTCCATGGAAAGATGAGCCTGAATCACAGCCACCTGCTGCTCACCCCATGCCCAGCACCAGACGTAGCCTGGAAAGCACCTAGCCCACCCTCTCAGGTGTGCACACGTGTGAACATGTGGAGGTGACATGTGTGGACTCACACATAGATGGATGTGTGTGTGTGTGTACAAGCAGGTCTGCAAATGAGAGTAGAGCCTGTGCATGTGTTTGTGGGCGGCTGTGTGAATGTGTGTGTGCACATGGGCAGGGGACTGTGGTTTAGTCCACTCAGGCACCAGCGAAAGGCAAAGGTGTGGGTGGCACGTGAGCGTGGGTTGGCGTATCGGCAGACTGAGCTAGAACACACACGCATGCCCTGGCTGGCAGCTGAGAACTCAGATTCTCACTTATACATAGCAGGATCAGCTGCCATCAGTCCATCAGAAGAAGAGCTGTCAGAACCCGACCTAGGGACGACCTGATTTAGTTCTGCACCACAGGTGCCATGGCGGGGAGGCCCAGGAGAGGGAGTTTGTCCCCCTGCAGGGGCGGTGGGCATGTGGAGGACAGGGCGACTGGTGTGCCTGAGGCTGCCCGGGGTCTGTGGGTGAGGGCCAAGCCCGAGGCCTCATGGCAGGTGAGCCCTTCCTGGCTACAATAAACCCAAACCAAGCCCTCCAAGTAGCTTTCGGACCCTCCACTCTGCAAGGTCAAGGTCAGGGCTCATAGTGAGAATCACCACGCGGGGCTACTGTTTTCCCAGGTTCTTAGGTGCTTCGAAGACAGGGCCAGATCTAGGGTGACCACCCCATCCCAGGTTACCCTGCACTTTTCTGATTTTAGCATTGAAAGTCCTACATCCCTGGAAACCCCTCAGTCCCAGGCAAACTGGGACAGCTGGTCACTCTAGTGCAGGCGGCCTCAAACTACGGCCCTCGGGCCACATGCAGGTGTTTTTGCCCGCTTGTTTTTTTACTTCAAAATAAGATATGTGCAGTTTGCATAGGAATTTGTTCATAGTTTTTTTTAAAACTATAGTCTGGCCCTCCAACGGCCTGAGGGACAGTGAACTGGCCCCCTGTTTAAAAAGTTTGAGGACCCTGCTCTAGTGGATCTGAACCTGGCACAACTGAAGGGGAAGAAGTCTTTTTAAGAAAAAATATATATATATAAGCAAAGTGCAGTGATGCCTACCTGTAGTCCCAGCTACTCAGGAGGCTGAGACAAGAGGATCGCTTAAGCTCAGGAGTTCACGTGCAGCCTGGACAACTTAGTGACGTCCCATCCCTTAAAATATATATATATAAATACCCTCCCCCCCAAGCCCCCACTCCTTTTTCTTCTGCCTCTCATTTCTCCTTCAGGGATCCCTCTCTAGTGGAGGCTGTTCTGTTTCCTGCAGTTTTACCCTCAAGAATGCTCGACTCAGAGAGCGGGTGAACCCTCTGAAAGTCACACAGGAAGTTCAGGAGAAAGGAAAACTCTAGAGGAGCCGGAGCTCCACCAGGACTTAAGGACACCAGGAAGCCCCAATTTTCCAGCGCCCTGCTCAGGACAAGCTGGGGGGTAGACACTCCACCCGCGTCCCTGGGGCTCCCATCCCGGGACCTGGGGCTCCCGGGTACCCCGCTCTTAGCCCCCCACCCCCGGGCAAAGGGGGCGCGGCAGGAGGAAGGAGTGGTCTCGCTGCGCCCTCCCGCCCCGCGGCTGGGAGCGGGTCCCCAGCTCTGTGCCCACTAATTGGTCTCATTAGGCACCGGCAGAAGCCTCCAGCTGCGCAGATCCGAGCCGTGTCATCCGCTTAGCGCCCTCGCGCCACCCGGCGCTCCCGCCCCGCGCCCCTCCCGCCGCCGCCGCCGCCACCCTCATTGTCGCCTCTGCTCTCCTCGCGGGGCCAGGGCATGCTCCGTGCTCCCGCGGCCGGCTGGGCGGCGGCAAGCGACACTCCGCGCCGGCAGCGACATGAGGCGCGGCCGGTGGGTCGCCCTGGTCCTGGGGCTGCTGCGCCTGTGCCTGGGTGAGCGGTCGACGGGGAGGGCGTGGGCGTCGGCGCTTACCCGGGTGGCCACAGGGACATGGTCCCGGGCCGTCCACGTCCAGAGTGGGACCCGGGCCGGGGGACAGAGCGGGGAAATCCTTCCAGCTGCATGGCCCCTGGGACGGGGAGCGCCCGGGGCGCTTCGCCGGGCGGCGTCCTGGAGCCCTGGGGTTTGCGCCCAGACGCCCGCCGCTCTCGCCTGTTCAGAAGCGGGTCAGGAGGTTTGGCGGCGGCTCCGGTGGCTGCGTGGGGCAGGGGAGGGCGCGCCGGCTCCCGGTGTGACCTTGGCCGGGGCACTACCACTCTCTGAGCACGGAACCCAGTCCGTCCATGCATGGGGTGGGCTTGGGCTTGGGCGCTACCTGGGTTCTTAGCTCCCAGAAGGTGTGTGTCCCTGACAAGCCCGAGCCCAGTCTGAGCCCACCACGGTGGAGGGGTTGGGGGGACTCTCTGGTTGACCCCCAGCGGGGTCGCTGGGTGCTCCCGGGTCGAGGAGGTGGAGCACCCCTGCCCACTAGTGGGACCTGACGCGTGACCCGCTGGTGCTCAGTCTCTCCCGGCCGATCTGTTCTGTCTCCATTCTCTTCCCAGCCCAGGCCAACTTTGCCCCCTACTTCTTCGACAACGGGGTCGGCAGCACCAACGGAAACATGGCCCTGTTCAGCCTCCCAGAGGACACCCCCGTGGGTGAGTAGCCCTGGCACCCGCCCCCACAGTCTCCCTGAGGGGTGGGTCGCCTTCTCCTGGACATAGGAACCCAACTGTGATTCCTTTGGGCCTATGAGGTTTAATGCACTCCCCAGGGCGTCCTGTTTGCTCTCTGAATTCCCCAGACAGTGGCAGGAAAGGAGGTCACCGCTGCCATGGCGACCTAAGCCTGGCCAGTCCTGGAGACCAGGGTGTGAACCCTGAGACAGGGTCAGCACTAAGCTGCAGGCAGTGGCTCACAACATGGTAGTAACACTGTCCCTTACTTGCTGTGTGAACTTGAGCAAACATATTTACCTCCCTGAGCCTCAGGTCTCTAGGCTTTAGAATGGCCCAAGAGCATTTAACTTGCTGAGATTTGCAGAGAGAAGGGAAAAGGAGAGAGAGGAGAGATGTCACACTTTATCTTGCTCTCCCCGTGGAACTGGGAACTCTGGGGGAAAGAAGAAGCAAGGAGAGCAAAACAGGTGCCTGCCTTCAGAAATCCCTGCAGAGCCAGTCCAGGCATTGGGGCATAGCGCTGCACCACCGGGCACCTCCCCTGCCTTAGTGGCTGCTCCCTTTCCCCCTGGCCCCCCAAACCCAGGGAGCCCCCAGTCTTGGCTCGAGAGAGAGGAGTCATTACCAGGCAGAGGGAAATGTAGGTTCTACAATTGGGCCCAGCAGACCTGCACCTCCTTTGTGGTCTGCGCTGTAGGGTACAATCTGGCAGGTAGCATGGAACAGCTGTGAAGAACAAAGATAAAAAGTGAGAAGCTGCCAGCAGGGCTGAGGCCAGCAGTGAGCGCCCAGGTCAGGATGGTGTCTTTGGCACTGAACTGAATAGTGACTTAATATAAACAGTTGAACCCTTGGTCCTGAGCAGCTGCCACTGTTAGGAAGTTGGGTCCCAGGTTCCAGGTCCACCCCCCTATGTCTCCTTCCAGGCTCCCATGTCTACACCCTGAATGGAACAGACCCCGAGGGAGACCCCGTCTCCTACCACATCAGCTTTGACCCCAGCGCTAGAAGTGTCTTTTCCATTGACCCCAATTTTGGAAACATCACTCTGATTGAAGAGCTGGACAGAGAGGTATGGGGAGATGTGGGGAGCGCTGCGGGCCTGCTGCCTGCAGGCAGACCTCTGCGGGTGGGAGGGGCCTGGAGACACAGTGGTTAGAACCTTTCTGCAGGGTGGGGGTGCTGCCAGGGCACAGCCGCGCTGTGGGCTCTCTAGGTTGCTCCAGAGGCAGAGGCGGCTTTACTCTCACAGAGCGAACGGTGGGGTTCCTCTAGTGAGCACCTGCCAGCCCTGCTAATCTTGTAGGCATGTTCAATTAAATCTGTTTGCACTTTGAAGTTTCTGAAAGAAAGCTCATGAAGTGACTTTTCAAGCCCGCTTTTGGAGAGGTCCTGTACACCCCAGGAAACTCCGAGCAGACCAGGGCTGCAAAGAGTGGCTGAGAGAGGGAGTCTGAGCTTGGCAGACACCTGCATTCCCCTCTGCAGCCCTGAACCCGCGGGTGACAGGGCATGGGCTTTGTTTCCCTTGAGACCCCCCTACCAGGCCAGTCAGCCCAGGTAGCTTCTTGACAGGACCTTAGCCACAGGGCTGCCGCCAGCTCTGGTTTGATGGCAGCACCCACTCGCCGCAGGCCAGGTACAGACAGGAAAGGGAGGTCCCCCCCAAGATTGCTATGGGGACACAGATGGTGGCTGTGTCTGTGCTGCCAGCCCCCCCTCCCAGCACCCATGGGATCGGGTGACCTCCAACACCCCTGCTCATCGACAGCCCTCGACACCCCTGTCCCACCACGTCCTAAGAGCACTGAGACACCAGGGATGTGGACCTCTGCAGAACCGGAATATGGAGAGACGGGGAGAGATAAGGGGGAGGAAAAGGAAATGAATAGATAGGGCAAAAGTCTTCCTTGTGGGACCCTGGGCACACCAGGGTGACTTCTCTCATCACTCGAGCAGGAGAGCATTTTCTGTTGGAGCCTCACAGTCCCTCTGGGTTTCTGAGAGTCCCTGACATAAAAGCCCTGAAATAAGGTCTCAAGATGGCAGGTGGCAGCGTTCACTCGTGCCAGGCAGGCGGTCACTGCCACCCCTCCCTGCTCCAGGGCTCCATGGGCGTGCCCAGGCCTCACACTGGTGTGTGGAGCAGAGAGAGGTCCAGAGAGCTCGGGGGGCCCGTGGCACAGCAGACTCCCAGCCCCCAGCCCCTGTGCTTTCTTACAGAGGGAGGATGAGATTGAAGCCATCATCAGCATTTCCGACGGCCTGAATCTGGTGAGTGCACCCCAGGCCAGCCCCTGGCAGCACGCAGCGGTTTGGATGAGAAGGGTGAGGCTGGGGGCCCCCAGAAAATTTCAGCCAGGGTCCAGCAAGACCTGCCCAGAGGGCCCACCGGCGAGGGCTGCCTTGAGGCCAGAATGGAAGGAAGGGAGGGAGGAGGGTGGAGAGACCAGGCTCTCTGAGCTGAACTTCTGGTGGGTTTAACCCGAGTTCTGCAGCCCTCCCCATCTGCCTTCTGCAACCTGGGTCTTGGCCCCCTGCCCAGCCACCGGAGCTGAACACCTGGGCATCCAGATGCTCTCCTCACCTGCGTCCCCCAGCCACCCCTTCCCTTCAGCCCTCCTCAGTGGCCCCCAGGATGACTGCAGCTGGCCCCAGGGGCTCTCTGGCTGCCTGACTCTCTTGCCCCAGTTGCCTCCAAAGCTGTCACTGTGGAACATAGATCTGCCCACTCCCAGGCTCACAAGGCACTAACAGCTGGCCCCGCCACCTAAAGGGTGAAAGCCACACTTTGGTCTGGCATTCTGCGCCTGCCCGTCGGGCACCATCTGCCTCGCCACTTCTCCCACATCCACCCCACCACCCTCTAGCCACAAATCCACTTCTGTCCTGCGAGCTCACCATGCATTTATTTCACTCTCTTCCTTTGCACACGCAGCCCCTTCTTCCAGGCACACCTTCCCGCCCCTCTCCTCCTGGCAAAGCTGCCGAAAGGCTTAATTCTCACCCCTGCGAGAAGCCTTCCTGCTCTCCACCGCCACAGCCTGGGCCGCTGGGTGCAGCGCTCACAACCCCCAGAGAGGCATCCACACAGGCCACGGTGCGCTTGGTGCCCGTGGAGTGGTGCAGGTCGGGGACCTCACCCTCAGCGCCTGCATAGCCCAGTCTGTTATCACCCTGATGGTGTCACCACATTCTTTCATATGCCGATCTTTGCCCCCAAATCCCAGCCACCGTGACCAGTGCAAAGCAACACACCATCAGGCCATCTTCTGTCCCCAGGATGGGACATGGTGTCGGACACCACGTTGCTGCTTAATAATATTTGTTGCATGAATGGATAAAAGAAGGAAGGAAGGGAAACAGAGAGAGGAGGGATGGGCAGGGACATCTACCTGGGGGGTGTTAGAGTCCACCGTCCTTTGAGCCCCAAGAAGGTCTCGCTGCCTGGACTCCTGACTTTTCTGTCCTTTTGCAGGTGGCAGAAAAAGTCGTGATCCTGGTGACCGACGCCAATGACGAGGCACCCAGGTTCATCCAGGAGCCTTACGTTGTCCTGGTTCCTGAGGTGAGTGGGGGGCCACGAGGCAGGGCGGCACCTGCTACCCCGGGTCCCTGGCCCAGCCCCTGGGCTGTTCTGTGGCCAGGAGTGTAGGGCACCTGTCCATCGACGATTGCCCTCAGCGGAGCCTCCCGTGTCACCCTTCCCGCCCTCCCAGATTCATTTTTGTTCCAAAGTAACACTTATTTGCTATTTCCATTATAATCATAATGTATGTTTATTGTGGAAATGTGAAATATATAGAAAAGTAGGAGAAAATAGGGTTTTAAAAATCACTCTCAATCTCTCCAACTGGAGACATCCATTAAATTTCGGTGCATTTCTTTCTAGTCTTTTTTGTGATTATGTATATTTTTTTCTGGGTTTTTTTTTTTTTTTGGCATAGTTGTGACTGTACTGAACAGTGCTTTCTGTACCCTATTTTTCACTTAAGTTGTAACATGAGCATTTTCCTCATCCGTTGTAAAGTCTGGGTCACTATCGTTTTAATAGCTTTCATCGAGTGAACATGCCATCATTTACAGAACCATCCCCTGAGGTTTGGACATTCAAGGTGCTTTAAAGTTTTGCTGTCATAAGTTTTATTTTTTTTTAATTTGGATTGTTTCCTTAAGTTGCCATCCAAGATTTGAAATTACCGGGTGACAGCGTGCATATTGCGGGCGCTGCCAGATTGCTCTTCCCCAAGGGCAGCAGATTGCTCCCTCCCTGGGACACCGGGAAGGGTTTGTCCCCTCTCCCCTTGCCAACACCGGGATTCCGGAAGTTTAACATGTCAGCTGATTCTCTAGCAGAAAGATATCTCACTCTTGTTTGAAACTGTAGGCGTGTGGTCCCCGGTGAGCCTAACTATGTCTGTGGTTCTGAACCGTTTCCTCCGTGTGAATTGCTGTTTCATATTTAGACCCTTTATCTATTTGAGGTCTTGGTGTTTCCATCTCATCTGCTCCCTGAGGACATCCCAGCCCAGCTGCATCTTCTTGAGCTCCCTTTTCTTTCCCTGTTTCCAGCACCCACTCTGCCTCCCCCTGGTGGGGGCTCACACACACGTCCCCACCCCCTCGCCTCTTTCTAGCCGTTCACTCCCCTGACCCCGCTGCTCCAGGGCCCCCTGGCTCCCTGAGCATCCTGTCACTGCCCCTGACCCTCCCCCTGTGGCCGTGACCCCTCAGGACACACCTGCTGGGAGCAGCATCATTAAAGTCCAAGCGGTTGACAAGGACACTGGCTCTGGAGGGAGTGTCACCTACTTCCTGCAGGTAAGGTGGGACACACAGGAAGGCCTGGGTGGGAGGGACAGAAGGGCCCATCCTGGCTTCCTCTGAGTTGGCCTGTCCCCACCCTCTTCCCGGGTCCCCAAGACCTTCAGCCCTCCACGTCCCCAGCCCCTTCCCCCGGGGCTCCCACGTGGGGCAGAAGATCCCTGTTTGGGTCCGGAATGGTCAATAGGAAAAACAGGCAGAAGGGACAGCTCTCAAAAGAAGGAGGGCTACGACACCTCTGAAAACACAGGTTCTGGGGAAATGCCCTGGACTCCTCGGGCACTGGGGAGATCCCACCTCTTACCACCTGAATGGCCTTAAACACGTTATCTAATGTTTCCGGCTCAGCTTCCCCACGTGTAGGACGGGAGCGATAGAAGCACATCCTCATCGGTTGCTGTGAGGTCTCCATACCCGTGAAGCTTCAGTAACAGGACCCGGCACAGGGTGCCTGACCCGCCTAGCTAGAAGGCCCTTTAAGCACCCCACCGGGGCGGTGCTCCTTGCCGGCCTCCTTCCTGCTGCACGTCATCTCTTGCCCCCACCTTCGTGCTGCTGGGACTGGCCCTCCGCAGTCACTTGCCCCGTGTGGCCATGACGTGTTAGCCCCTACCCTCTCCGGCCTAGCCCAGCAGACATTTCTACCTGCTGGAACCTCCAGGCCAGAGCTTAGCCCGGGGCTGAGCTCCTGTTTGTTTCCCATCTGAGCAGGGAGAAAACTGAAGGCCCTGGAAGGGAACATTCTGGTTTGGATAGAGGGCGTGGGAGGAGAAGCCCGGGACCCCACTGTAGAGGGGAACCTGGGGCCAGAAAACCTGGGTGCCCTGAAGTTTGAACCTCAGCCCAGAGGCCAGACTTCCTGTGACAAGGGGCAGTGAGGCTCCCCTTTAGTGAGCAGAGCAGCCATCCCTGGGGCTGGCCTGGGCTCCTCCCTGAGGCCCAGCCGGCCCCCCAACTTTCACAGAGCCTGCACTCCACCCAGTTTGCCGTGGACCGCCAGAGCGGCGTGCTGCGCCTCCAGCCCGGGGCCACTCTGGACTATGAGAAGTCCCGGACCCACTATGTCACCGTGGTCGCCAAGGTAATGGGGGGGGCATCCAGTCTTCCCTCAGCCCTGGGGTTGGGGTCCACGATGGAGTGGGGGCCATGTGGAGAGCAGGAGGTGTGATGGGTGTGGGGAAATGAATCTACCCTGCCCGGATGTGTTCTCCGGGGAGGCTGGAGAGGGCACATTCCCTTCTTGGGGAGACATTTGCTCCTCAAAAGTGACAGGAAATGGACAGGCCAGGGTGCCCTGGGTAAGACCAGAGGACTGTGTGTCCCCCTCCCATCCCCACGGCACGGCCTCCAGGCACCCCCTCTTTCTGGCCAGGCTTACTCCCCCACCTCCCCCTCTCTGTGTGACCAGTGACCCTTTCTGAGCCTCAGTTTCCTCATATGCCCGTCCCCAAAGCCTAACTAACCTCCTCACGCGTCTGAAGTGCACGGGGTGGAACTGGAGATCAGCAGGTGCCCAGACAAGGGACACACATCCCCGCTGTCCCTCCAGGCTCAGCGCTTGCCTTTCAGGAAGGCCCCCGCTGGGCACAGACGGGCTGCAGGCCCTCCCGCTGCAGCCTGTTCCGGAAGGCCGGAGGCGGCCACCTGCTGGGACGCTGTGAGGCTCAGCTGGGCACACACCTCCCTTCCACAGGCTCGGGCTCAGGCCTGCGCCATACTCCTGTGGGCCCCGTGGCACCCAGCACAGGCTGAGCACGTAGTAGGTCCTCAGGAGGTGCGTGAGGCGGGACTCCCGCTGGGAGGGGAGATTCAGCTCTGAGCGCCTCCTGTAGGCCCCCTGCCAGCCACGATTGCCCTGGAGCGAGAACTAACCCTGTTTCCAAAGGAACATGTCTAAGCACCTCCTGCATGCCCGCACTGACTGGGCCCTGCACGCATCGTCCCGTTTAACTTCCCCAACGCTCCTCTGAGAGGAGACACAGGAGCAAGCAGCACTCAGAGGGGACAACGGGCCCCACAGCCAGTAGGGCAGGAGCCCTCGGACTCTAACGGTGTGTCTGACTCCGGAGCCCAGCCTGTCTTCACTCTCCCCTGTGCCCACGATTCTTCCCCAGGATGGTGGGGGGAGGCTTCGAGGGGCCGACGTGGTGTTCTCAGCCACCAGCACCGTCACGGTCAACGTGGAGGACGTGCAGGACACGGCCCCTGTCTTCGTGGGCACACCCTACTACGGCTACGTGTATGAGGACACTCTTCCGGTGGGTGGCTGAGCCCCTTAGCCAGTGTCCCCTCCCAGCGCCTCCTGTCCTGTCCCTCGTGACTCTTGGGACCCCCTGCCAGGGGTGGCTGGGCTCGGCCCAGGTCGCTTTCTGCACACAGAGCCCAGCTCCGGACTCAGCCTGGCTCAGGCCCTGAACTGGCCTTGGGACCCTAGACCGGCCGTGAGCTCGACGTGGGCCGATATCAGGCCAGAGTCGGACCTCACTCAGCCGGGGCTCAAGAACCCTCCGTGGAACTGAGCTGCATTTTCCCTTTGCACTTCCCCGTTTTCTGAGTGTTCTTGACTTTATAAAACCAAGAAAAACACCTATCCAAGACCTGGCGTGGAGACAAGCTGAGTGAGGGGGAGCGAAATGTTGGGCTGTCCTGGGCGGAGGCTCAGGACAGGGCAGGCGAGGCCCAGGCCGTCCTGCCGAGGAGCTGGGGGCAGAAGGAGGGGCAGAAAGAGGTGCAGAGGGCCAGGGATCCGGGAGAGAGGGCAGCCTGTGGACCGGGACAGGAAGCAGCCACGAGTAGGCCAGAGAGAATGGCCTGCACAGGGTGCCTAGGTGGGGGCGGCAGGCACAGGTGGAGCCAGACCTGTCTGGTCACAGCAGCCCTAACCCTAGACCCTCCAACGCCAGCACCCAAGGCCCATGGGCTTGAATCCCAATCCTGGGGCTTCACATTTGAGGCTGTCCCTGCCCAGCCCCTCTCTCACCTGTCTCTCCTCCTCTCCTCTGATGGAGGGGGCTGTGGGGGGTGGGCTGGGGAGCAGTAAAATCGAGGACTGAGGACTGAGTGCGGCGTGTGGGCCGGGAATTGGTGCAGGAGGCTCTGGGCCCTGGGCAGCCCCCTCTGCAGGGACCCCTGCGGGTGAGGAAGCAGCGGGGACTCAGGCTGCGCCTCCGGCCCTGCAGGCCAGGGGTGCCGGGAGCCCCCAGCAAAGCAGGGTGGGGCCTCAGGGAGGCCTGTCTCTTTTCCTGGGTGAGGCGGCGCCTCCCCTCCGCGATGGGGCAGTGTCGGGGGAGGGCAGGCCCCTGTGCCACCCATCAGCCTCAGGCAGCTGCTTCTGCTCCTCCAAGGGCTCGGAGGTCCTGAAGGTGGTCGCCGTGGACGGAGACCAGGGCAAACCCCACCGCGTTCTCTACAGCCTCGTCAACGGTGAGTCTGGGGCGGCTGTGGGGCTGCAGCCCCGACTCTTTGGGTGACTAGGTTCCCCAAGCTCTGGATCCCAGCTCCCTCACTGACAGGACCTCGATGTGTGGCGAGAAGTGCTGGGCCCCCAGGTGGTCGCAAGTGTCCTCTGCTCGTGCTCCGGCCCCTGCATGCCATTACATTCAGCACGGGGGCGGGAGCACGGAAAGCGGCGTGGGTGGCGTGAACGTGCTCCCTTCACCCTGGGCTCACGCTCACTGGTGGGGACGGGTGGCAACATCTCTCACACTTCTTAAATTGCTCTGTGTGTTTTCTCATTCTTTTTAAATTTTTAGCCTAGAGCATGTAGCTGCATTAAGTGAATCAAATGCAGTGATAATGCGTCATCTCGCTAGTGCTATCCCTACCTATGGACGAGAAAACTGAGGCTCAGAGAAGCTAAGGGGGCATCCCAAGTTCCCACCACTGGATTTGACCCTGAGTCTGCTGGCTCCAGAGTCTGTGCTCCTCCTACAGCCAGCAGCAACTGAGCAGCCCAAGCTGTCCCTGGGCTGGGCCACGTCATCACGCCAGGCACCCGATCCCAACCTGCACATGTCTACGCACGCACCCCAACCCCGTCCCTCGGACACGCCGGGCGCACACTTGCTCCCCAGCAGCTCACACATGGACAGACATGCCCATCACACACGGGCTGCTTTCTGCAAGCGCACAGACCCTTGGCTGCCTTCCCCCCACGCCACCGCTGCACACCCTCGCCCAGTGACAGAGCACCCACCCCACCCGTCGCCCACCGCCTCTCCTCCTCTTCCTCCAGTCTCCGCTCTCCCTCTCCTCTTGCTCATCCCCTCCTCTCCCTGCTTCCCCTTCCTTCCCTCCTTCTCTTTCCTTCACACACACCCCTCCCCATACACATGCACACACACATACATACTCGTACACATGCACACACACACACCCCCCTCCCCGTACACTTGCACACACACATACCCGTACACTTGCACACACACACACACCTACCCGTACACTTGCACACACACATACCTGTACACTTACACACACACATACACACATACCCGTACACATGCACACACACACCCGTACACGTGCACACACACATACACACACCCCTCCCCATACACACGCACACACACATACATACCCGTACACATGCGCACACACACACACACACCTCTACCCGTACACTTGCACACACACATACCTGTACACTTGCACACACACATACACACATACCCGTACACATACACACACACATACACACACATACCTGTACACATGCACACACACATACACATACACACACACCTACCCGTACACTTGCACACACACACACACACCCGTGCATGTGCGCACACACACACATACCCGTACACATGCACACACACATACACACACACATCCCCGTACACATGCACACACACACACACCCCTCCCCGTACACTTGCACACACACACACACCTACCCGTACACTTGCACACACACATACCTGTACACTTACACACATACACACACACATACCCGTACACATGCACACACACATACACACACACATACCCGTACACATGCACACACACATACACACACACATACCCGTACACATGCACACACACTATTATGCATAAGAGAAGGACACAGTGTGGAATTTGGGAGCTGAACAGAAGTAGGTAAAAGTCCCAGCTCTGCACTTGCTGTGTAACCTCACACAAGTTGCTTAGCCCCTCTGAGACTCAGTTTCCTCATTGGCAAGACGCAGGTGACAGGATTACATTCTGTGGAGGAGACTTGCCCGAGGTAAGGCGAGAGGAGCGTGTGGCACAACTGCCTGCGCCCCGCCGTGGCCCTGTGCGGAACTACAGGCGCGTCTCTCCTCTGATAGGGAGCGATGGTGCCTTTGAAATTAACGAGACGACTGGAGCCATCTCGGTCACGCAGAGCCCTGCCCAGCTCCAGAGAGAGGTGTATGAGCTGCACGTGCAGGTACCTTCCTTCTAGCCTGGCCTTCCCCGCCTGCCCTTTGGCCCGGGAAGGCTGCAGAGGCCCTGGAAGGTCCTTTCCCCCATTCCCCTCGGGCTCACAGTCTGGGAGGGGCTAGATGTTGCTCCAAAGAGCACCCCAACCAGGCTGCAGCAGATCAGCAGGAAGCCCCCAGGGAGGGGAGGGGGATGTGGACTCACAAGCAGAGTCATGAAAAGGCAGGAGGAGGTAGCGCTGGAGCAGCAATGCCTCGCACATGGGTAGGATCCAGCAGGTGCATACTGGTGGCAGGGGCATTGGTCGGTGGGGGCAGAGTGAGGGCATTCCAAGACAGAAAAGCCCAGAGAGCCCAGGCTGGAGGGGAGAGCACGTGACGTGTTAGGGAAACACCCAGGAGTCAGGGGAGACCAGAGCAGAGAGCCACGGCAGCCTGGAGAAGAAGGAAAGTTGGACTCCCAGGCTGGGGCCCGAGGAGCCCTGCATGTGGGGAGGGGGTTGTGCCCAGGGTAGGGTTTGTGCCCAGGGCAGGGCAGGTGACCTATGCAGTCACATGGGGACCATCCTTAGAAGCATCCCACACTAAGCTTAATGCTCTACTATTTGCTGTCTTGAAATTCCTGATAATGTTTGAACAGGGACCCTAGATTGTTATTTTTCACCAGGCAAATTATTTATATCTGGCTGGTCCTGCCCACGAGCAACAAAGCCCCACTGAAGGTTCTGAGCAGGGTTACAGTCACTTGTTGGAAGCTCCCTCTGGCTGCTCACTGGACCGGTGAGGTTTCCAAATTGGGAGAGTTTGGCCAACCCAGACTTCCAGGACCCTCTCCTGGGAATGGGAAGGACTCTGCAGCCGGGTGATTCTGGCCCCAGTTCCAGCCTAGAGTTTGGGAATTCTGGTCTCGACTCGGGCTTGGAGGGAGCTGGATGAGACGCAGGGAGGCAGAGCCATTGGACAGCGTGACGGAGGAAGAGGGCCTGCAGGGAGGAGGGGAGGCGGATGGCAGGAAAGGACAAAATAAATTACGCAGGAGTCACACTGCACGGAAGGTGGCAGTTGGAGGGTGTCACAGTGAGGGATGGGGTGGTGCTGCCATCAGAATCGAGTGACTAGGCAGGGAATGGCGAATGTGGGTGCTGGAGGGGCACACGAGTCGAAGCACCCAGACTTGGGCATACGGGTTTGGAACTTGGGGGACAGAGCGCCAACGTACAGGCAGCTGTGAGAGGCACGGGGGGCGGGGAATGAGAGAGCGGCTGCAGGGAGAGAGGAGTAGTCACCAAGCACAGCTGCGGGAGCCATGGAGGGCTGAGAGAGAGCAGGGGGCAAGGGCAGGGGGCCCCCGGGAGGGGGCCAGAGAGGCTGAGGAGGACTGCAGAGAGCACAGCCAATTGGCCAAGGGAGTAGAGCACCTGGGAGAAAAAACAGTGATGGTGCTGATGCAGCATGGAAGTCAGAGTGAACTCCCTACACGGGGTGGGGTGAGAATGAGTGGGGAGTGGGGATGGAAATGGCAGGCGTGGGCTTCCAAGAGGGGAGAGAGTTAGGACAGCACCGAGGGTGTGAAGGAGGGGGAGGGCCATGTTAGGGTGGATAAGACCAGGCATACTCATGGAACAAGGGGAAACAGGCTTCAAAGAGCTCAGAGGATATTTGCCACATGGTTGATGGCTATGGACTCTCAGCCCTGGCTTTGCGGCCTGTATTATTTATCCATTGCTGCATAATAAGTTACCGGAAACTTAGCAACTTAAAACAACACACATGCATATCTCTCAGTTTCTGTGGATCAGGAGTCCAGGCTCAGCTTGGCTGGGCCGCAGCTTTAAGGTCTCTCCTGCGATTGCAATAAGACTGTCAGCCAGGACCGGGGTCTCATCTGAAGGCTTGACTGGGGAAAGATCGGCTCCCACGCTCACCTGGCTGTTGGCAGGACTCAGTTGAGCTGTTGGGCTAAGAGCCCCAGCAACCGCAGGCTATCGGTCACCATCAGTTCCTTGTCACGTGGGCCTCTCCAGCATCACTGCCTGCTTCATCCACTATCAAGACGGCATTTTGATCTCTTGTAATCTAATCATGAAGGGAGATCGCACCATCTTTGCCATATGCCGTCAGTAGAAGCAAGTCACCAGGCCAGGCCACACTTAGGGAGAGAGCATTATAGGACATTATAAGCACATTAGGGAGAGGGCATGAACAGTAGGATCACTGGGGACATCTCAAGAGCCTGCCTGCCACACAGCCATCGCCATGTGTCCCCACCCCAGGTGACCGAGGTCAGCTCTGTGGAGGGCCCAGCTGCCCAGGCCATGGTCCCAGTAACCATCAGGATTGTGGACCTCAACAACCACCCGCCAACATTCTACGGGGAGAGCGGGCCCCAGAACAGGTTTGAGCTGTCCATGACGGAGCATCCGCCCCAGGGCGAGATCCTGCGGGGCCTCAAGATCACGGTCAACGACTCGGACCAGGTGCGTGTGCATCCCTCCACCCCGCCTTCCTGCAGACGGAGTGCCGCCCAGGTCCCAAGGCCAACCAGGTCTGCATCAACCTCCACTGCGTTTGTGGCAGAGCCAGGCAGGTCCCAGAATGAATGAATCAGGAGGGTGTAACCAAGAGGGAGAGAAGGGGCGGTAGCCAACCAAAGGCTATCTGCTTAGCCGAAAGGCAATAACAGTCAGGTCAAAAGTAAAAGCCAGTCCAACAAAAGCAAACCTGCATCTGACCAGCCACACAGGCATTTGTGAATGCCACCTGCACAGGGCTCAGAGTTATATGTTTGTTACCTGGCTCAGTCCTCATAACCTGCTAAATCTTTCTGATCCTTGGTCAACTTGCTCATAGAGAGAAGTAATAACACTCACCCCCCAGGGTTAAGGGCATACAAAAGCTCCTTCTGTATAGCATGAAGCATATATTAATAAGATTCTATTCTCATTTATCTTCCCTCTTTCCTATCTACAAATCCTGTTGCTCAGGGAGCCAATGCCAAATTCAACTTGCGGCTGGTGGGACCCGGGGGCATCTTCCGAGTGGTCCCACAGACGGTCCTGAACGAAGCTCAAGTTACCATCATTGTGGAGAACTCAGCCGCCATCGACTTTGAAAAATCCAAAGTGTTAACCTTCAAGGTAGGTGGTGATTTGCGCTGCCCTGAATGGGGGGGGGGTCCCCAGGAGCTCACATCAGCATCACAATTCATTCCTGAGGCGGGTCCCTTGCCACTCCCTGGCCTTTCTGGCCCCACTCTTTTCCTCCCTGACCCTCTGTCCCTGGCTCCATGGGAAATCAGGGAGCAGTGGTGGGGGAGGAAGAAGGGGGGTACACAGAGCCTTCTGCAGGCTACTCACAGACTCAGTGTCACTGAACTCCCACCCTCTAAACCACAGCCAGCCCTAGAAATGCAAAGTAAAACCACCCCATAATTTGCCATGGTAATAGATGGAGAGAGAAAAACTGTTTGATTATCGAGGTAGTTGCTTTCTCATAGGCCTTTTGACATCTGTCATCTTATTTGGATAACAACCTTAGCTGAAGGAGGAAAAAATACTCTGTTGACATCATTCATAGTTATATAAAATTACAAGTGCATTTTATATATTAACATAAAAGTTATATATTTTTAAAAAGAAAAATAAATACTTCATTGATATTATTTAAATTGTTACTGTTATTTATAATTATTCACACATATGCATATCCACCTATAGCCAGCAATGTGCTTAAAAGCGGGATACAAAAAGCAGCCTATGAGGCCAGGAACAAAGCATGAATACCTGCTAGCACCACTGTTATTTAGCATGATTCCTATAATAACCTTATTCCTGGATAAAGAAAGGAAACAGGAAATACAAATATTAGAAAGGAAGAAGAGACAAAATGATCCTTATTTACAGGTGGTGTAATTGCTTAAAAAACAAATCTCAGAGAAAGTATTGAAAAACTATTAGAAACACAGCAAAATTACTAATGTGCTTGATTACAAAGTTAATACACAAAATCCAATAGTTTTTCTACATACAAAAATGACAATAAGAAAACATATGGAGTCATACATACCATGCAAAGAAAACTATTTTAAAAAGAAAATATAATGAAATAAAAAATTCTCTTTTACAATAACCACCAACAGATAAAATTCATAGGAATTACTGTAACAAGGTACATGCCACATCTAAATGTCAAAAAATGCGAAATTTCACAAAGGGATATTGAGAAAGCAAGAAATGTAAAGACATACTGTGTTTTAAAAATGCCAATTCTCCTTAAGTTAATAACGAATTCAATGCCACCCCAATTAACTCTTCCTTAGAATTTCCTTTGGAGAGGTGGTGAGAAGCCCTGACAAAATTATACTGGTTTTTATCTGGAGAAATAAACTTATAAGAATAGTCAGGAAATTGGAACTAGAAGGGAATGTGCAGCTCAGTGGAACAAAAGGAACTGGCCCCCTACAAATGGGAGTGATCAGAAAGCTGGCATGGCAAGAGGGGTGGGCACTGATGTCGGGCCTTAGAGGTGACCTTGCAGGCAGTGGCAGCTGTGAGTCAGAGCGGGAGACACGGCAGGCGGTGCTAGAGCAGCCCTGGGAGACAGAGGTGGAACACTCCCAGGGTGGACAGCCCTGGGTGACTGTCTGACCAGTGAGGTCCCCGTTTCCTTCCTTCCCAGCTCCTGGCCATCGAGGTGAACACACCAGAGAAGTTCAGCTCCACGGCGGATGTTGTGATCCAGCTCCTGGACACCAACGACAATGTCCCCAAGTTCACCTCCCACTACTACATTGCCAGGATCCCCGAGAATGCCCCAGGAGGCTCCAACGTGGTGGCTGTCACGGTGGGTTGGGGACCGGCCCGGGGACCAGGGTGGGGTAAGGGGCGTTGTGAAGTGAGACCAATCCAGGTTCCGCTTGAATGGCAAAGCCCACGCTCATTAGCTGTCCTTGGACCAGGTGCTTGCCCTCTCTTGTCCTCAGTTCATCATCCATACAATGGGGACATCATCACCTCACAGGACTGCAGTGAGGACATATGTATGTGTAAACCCCAGGCACAGGGCACGGGACCCATCTCCGCCTTCCTCATGTATGAAGGAGGGATAGATGCCTTCCAGATCTAAACTGGTTCCTTCAACACTTGAGAACTCCTTGGAGGAAAACTAGGGCTCCAGCACGGGCCTCCAGATCAGCTTCTCCCCAGCTGGGACAACCCCCAAATTCCCTTGCTTTGCCGGTTAAAAGCAACCTTTGGACACAGAGCTGCCAACATGCCCTGACAATGAGGCATGCGCCACCGTGCACCACCAGGAGCTTTCTCTCTTCCAGGCTATGGATCCGGACACAGGGCCCTGGGGCGAGGTCAAATACTCCATCTATGGAACCGGGGCGGAGCTGTAAGTCCTTCCAGAACCCGGGACAGGGCCTCAGGCAGGGGGCTTGGGAGGCTGAGGGTGGCGGGGAATGGGGCGGGGATAGGAGCCTGGGCTGCGGAGGCGAGCAGTGGAGAGCCAGAGGGACACACTCGGTGAGGAAGGTCATTGTCAGGGCCTGGAGACAGGACTGGGCTGGGGCAGGGGCGGGCCACGGGGAGAGAGGGAGGGACGCTGCTGGGGTTGTCAAGCTCCACAGTGAAATTATAGATGGGTGAGTTCACAGGTGGGTCTGCCTCCCCCAGTCAGACTGCAAGGAGGGGAGGGAGCAGGGGGACACCTGGGAGGAGCTGTGCGATGCCTCACTGTCGCTTTGGAGGCAGCTCCTGTGCGTGTGTGTGTGTGTGTGTGTGCACGTGTGTATGTACACATGCACACCCGTGTCTGCACTCTCTGTGCCCGGCAGCTTCATGATCCACCCAATCACTGGGCTCATCTACACCCAGCCCTGGGCCAGCCTGGATGCTGAGGCCACCGCCAGGTACAGCTTCTATGTGAAGGCAGAGGACATGGAGGGCAAGTACAGCCTGGCCGAGGTGTTCATCACCCTGCTGGATGTCAACGACCACTACCCCCAGTTTAAAAAGAGCATCCAGAAGGAGATGATGGTGCTGGGGGCACCCGTGAAAATCGAGGTGGGGTTCAGATCGCGGTTGTGCTCACCTGAAAGCGGGGTTCCTCCACATTACAAATAGGGGGTCAGGGGCTGGGCCTGCCTCACCTCCCGTAGCCGCTCTGCCCGCCCTCGGGGCAGTGGCTTTCCCCTGCACCTCACCGTCTTCTCCACGCGGCAAACAGTGTGGACTCTGAAACCCTTGACTTGGAATCCCAGGTCCCTTCCTTCTGCCTCTATATCCCTGGACAAGTCACTTAGCAACTATGGAGTGGAGGGGAAACCTCCCCTTAACCCCCCCCAAAGGTTCTCCTTAAGATCAACTCACAAAAGGCAGATTAATAAGAAAGAGATTTATTTACTGAGCACATGGGGGGAATCAGGTGATTGCCCGATATCCCAGTGGGGTCCAGAAATTTATATGCCCTCATTGCAGAAGGGAGGGGGAGATGAGGAATCCAGGTGATTCTGTTTAGGGGCAGAATGGCTGCTAGGGAGGATAGATAGATACGTGGAAGAATGAATGGATGGGGGGAAACAGAGTGTGAATGATTCTGTTTGGAAATGAAATCAACCCAAGAGACGTGTCTTGCCAGGTCTGGTTGCGTTCTTGATATTCTTTGCTGCAATACATTGAGATAACAGGGAGGGGAAGGAAAGTTGATGGCTCTTTTTGTTGGGCCTGTTTTTGTTTTTTTTTTTTATGAATACAGAGGGAAAGGCGTTTCCAAGGCCTGTTGATCTCTAAGGGCCTTTAGTTAAAAATACTCTTCATCTCAAGGAGTCCTGTTTTGGGGTGAAATTTCACCAACCCAGCAAGCCCCACAGGAGCTCTGATTCGGCAAATGTGCACAGGTCTGGCCGCCAAAGCCAGCTGGGGTCTGCTTCTGCCCGTGCACAGGCCACAGACCAGGACGCGGAAGAGCCCAACAACCTGGTGGACTATTCCATCACCCGCGCAGAGCCGGCCAACGTGTTCGACATCGACGCGCGCACGGGGGAGATCTGGCTCAAGAACTCCATCCGCTCGCTGGACGCCCTGCACAACATCACGCAGAGCGGGGACTGCACCTGGTCCCTGGAGGTGCAGGCCAAGGACCGCGGCTCCCCCTCCTTCAGCACCACGGCCTTACTCAAGATCGACATCACGGACACAGAGGTGGGCACAAGCCACGGTCAGGAAAGGGGTCACAGGGCCAGCTCGGGCCTCTGCCACGTGGCAGAGCGGGGAGGGCCACCCCGGGCTTCCTCCAAAGGACACTCGATGCCATAAAGGCGGCCTGTGCCGATCAAGTTGAAACTCTAGTTTCAGTACTTACCCGTGGTGTGGCTTTGGGCTTTGCGAAGGCTCCATTTCCTTTCTCGTAAAATGGGAATGATGGTGCCTCCTTCACACGGGTGGAGGTGGAAGTAAAGTCATTACATGTCGTTCTCAGCTCAGTGCCTGGCAGAAAAGCAGTCCCTTAAAGGATTCCCGATCCTGTGGGTGGATGGGACCCCCTATAATCAGAGGTGAGCAATGCTGTACTTTCCAAAGGACAGAGTCCAGTTCTGAGCCTAGGAGAGGTTGTTCGCATCACTTCCGTCTCTCCATCCATGTTTTCCCGGACAGAAGCCCGCAGGTCTTAGCAGACTCTCAAAGGGAATCCCAGGAAGTTGAAAAGCCATCAGGCGTAGGGAAGCGCATGCCCTGCTCCGTCCCCCGGGGCCCGGGCAGGAACAGCTGAGTGCAGGGGTGGCTCTTTCTTGCAGACGCTGGCCCGGAGCCCCATGGCGGCCTTCCTGATACAGACCAAGGACAACTCCATGAAGGCTGTGGGAGTGCTGGCCGGGGTCATGGCCACCATCGTGGCCATCACCGTCCTCATCTCCACTGCCACCTTCTGGCGCAACAAGAAGTCCAACAAGGTCCTGCCCGTGCGGCGTGTGCTCCGCAAGCGGTCCAGCCCCACTCCCCGCGCCGTCCGCATGGAGTGGCTCAAGCCCAGGAAGCCCAAGGCCGCTACCAAGTTCGTGCTCAAAGAGGATCCTCCCAATGGGAACTGCAACAACAACAGCCCAGAAAGCTCCCAGCCCCCCAGAGCCCCGGCCCTTCCCCCACCACCCAGCACGGCCACGGCCCAGTGGACTGTGCCCACAGTGTCTGGGTCACTCACTCCCCAGCAGCACCAGCTGCCACCAAAACCCCAAACTGCGGGAAGCTCCACCCAGGCAACTCTGGTCTCTGAGCTCAAGCAAAAGTTTGAGAAGCACAACAAGGCTTACTTCTAGAGTGTGTCCTGTGGCCCTTCCTGTCCCCCTCACCCCAACCCTCACCACCCCACCACTTGGACCATACTCCCCACCCTCTGCTCCTTAAGGTCACCCATGTTTTGTAGAATGGTGTCACCTCGATACACAGGACTCTGCACGAGGCCTTGGGCAAGAGGTTTCTCCGGACATGGAATGCAATTGGCAAACGCGTCCCTGTGACCCAAATCCTTGACACAGATACATTGCTCCCCACTCTCCTGGGCTGGCAATTGACAACGAGCCAGCTGTATGCATCACCAACCCCAGAGCTCATAGTCCCTTGGGTCCTACTGGGATCTCACCATCCTTAGTCAAGGAGCAGGGCCCTGGCCACATGGAACAAGGCCGACTAGACTCTGGATCCTGAAGCCTGTGGCTGGGAGCAGCAGCAGGAAAAGGAGGTTCACCCTGGCTCAGCTGGAGGTCAATGAACCTTGCAAGCTGCGGGAGAGCAAATACAGGCACAGCAAATACAGGGGAGGGAAAAAGTGCACTGACAACTCACACTGGCCGCGGGGCTGTGCCTGAACACCATTGGAAAGTGGGAGCATGACATCTGGGCAGAGTCCGGGGGCCCTGCTGTGCCCATGAGGGACCAGGGACATGGAGGTGGAAGATGGGCCTTGCCAAGAGTGAGGGCAGATGTCCTCAGCCAGGATTGCCCTGGACCCGGAAATGTCCAAGCTGGAGCCTTGATGGTCACCCTAAAGGCACCTGGAAGAGCGTCAAGGCCCCTCTCTAAAGCACTGGCCCCCAGTCATCCTTGAAGAGACAGTTCAGGGTGGTAGATGGATATCAGGACTGGGGTCTGGGGAGACTTCTGTTTTTATCTGGCTCTTCTACTCTCATTGCATGCCCTTGGGAAAGCTGTTTAAACTCCCCGATCATCTTTTCCCTCAATTGTCAAATGAAGAAAGTAAGCCCTGTCTGCCTCACGTGCAGGTCTAGGGTGAGGAGCAAAGAAAATAGCAGTGATGAGGACTGTAGCTAAGTGCAGAGGGGCACAAATGCACAGTATTTTTCTGCAGTCCAGTTCCAGAAAGTGTTAGGAGTCTGCAGCTCTTCCAGAAAGTATTAGGAGTCTCAGAGCTACTCTGCCGAGTGCCCCAGGAGGCACTGTGTTGGGTTTGGGGCTGTCACTGGATGATGGCACTGTCCGTGACTCACACACCTCCCCTTCCATTCTCCCATCACCCCATGCCCTGAGTGGCCCTGGTCAGCCACCATCAGAGAGAACCAGGGCTGGGCAGCAACATCCGGTCCAAGCCTTCATTTTGTCAAGATGAGGAAAACAAGTTCCCAAGAGAGGAGTGGTTTGCCCAAGGCCACACAGCAGGTTGGTGGCAGGGGTCTGGTCTGAGGGCTCCCAGCTCCTTGGCATCTTCCGGTAGCTGGGGCACACCTCCTCACCTCGTGACACCCTCCCCCAGGAGAGAAATCTCACAAGTTCTCCATGGCTAATACAAAGAGGTTTAAGGAACCTGCTATAAGGAAACCTAGAGATGCACACAGGGAGAGAAAAGTGAAACAGCTCTTTGCATATTGCTCCACTCACTAACAGCTCCCCTAGAATACGCCAGTGATTTTATTTAAGCAGATTATATACACATGTGATTTTCTTGATTTCTGAGTCTGTTTTGTTACTGAGATGTGCCAGTGTGCAGACCCCTTATTGGGGTTTCTGCAGTCTCCGACTCGGACAGTGTAAGTGCAAGGTGGTCTCTAGCAATCCAGCATCCCAGACACTGTAGAGAGCAGACACTCTGCAGCCTGTTTCAGGGAGCATCCTTACAACGTGCATGCGATCCACCTCTTTTGTAAATGGTAAATAAAATCTATTAACCAAAGGCCAAGCTGGCCTCCTGCTCCCTGCTTTCGTTTGTGTTTGCTGACCTATGGAAACCAGTTTTCCCAACACACAGCCAAGGACAACGTGCCTCCTGGCCCCTTTATGGGTGGTGTAGGGGACTGACATATATTTTCCTAGTTTAAGAATTAAAGTTAGTGAGTAATGTACGTGTTCTGCCCAGAGCGTTTGAAAGTAATCTATTCCAGACAAGGTCCTGTGATAAACAAGGATGTTACCTACAGGCATAACAAAGGACCTGAGCTGCGAGTAGCAAGAGTAGCCCCGCCCCACAGCATTGGGGGTCTGGAGGTCACATGATAAACATATTGTTCCTGTGATTGCTACGTACACCCCATAAGATGGCTGGTTAGTCAATGACAGGTAAGACCCCTCAAGGGAGGGGCGACCTCAGCCAGGCACAGCCGCCGGGGTTCAGCCGAAGATCTTAGGGGGTTGCCCATCCTTGCTAATCTTGGTCCTTTATCTATGCCTCATACCTAGAGCAACCACCTTGAAATTCTGAGTCAGGGGATATCTGCTTCCCTAAGGCTACACTTTCTGGAATTTATGGCTATCACTGCCACACCTGGGTAGTTACGTACAAGGAACTAACTTTAATTTTTTAGAGTATAAAAATAAAACGGACCCAGTGTATTATTACTCAAGTCAACGGTTTGTACGTGTGTCTGCATTTTTCTTTGTGTTCTGCGCATTTGTGTTTTATGTTCTGTGTTCATCCTCTGTCCTGTAAACGGGCCATGACAGGGTGGATCTATTCTTTGACTCCCAGATCTGACTCTGGGGGAGGCTGAAAAATTTTGTTCTAACAGTGGCACATTTGCAGACTTGTCTACCTGGATTGGTCTTCCTCCCAAGCAGGACAAGCACAGAAAGGGCTGCTTGGAGAGGAATGGGATCTGACACAAGGGTGGGAATTGGGAGGCCCGGCCTGGCATGGGAGCCTTGGGAGGCAGTGTCATCTCTGGGACACTGGAGACATCTGGGCAGAAGCTCAGCCAGCATGTGGGCCCTGGGAGTGGGGTGGGCTCCTACACAACCAGGAGATTGAACCAAAGGCAGGAGCCCAGTCTCGCACACTGGCGTGGATGGAGAAGTGCTACAGCCAGCATGAGCCACACTGGGAAAAGGAGGCATTGCAGCCAAACCTAAGGGACCGAGCAATGTGGTCAGCACTCGGAGGAGCCCCCCGCCCCATGGGAATGGATCAGCCAGTCCCTGCATTAGGAACAAATGACAAGCGCAAGGGGCTGCCTGTCAGTTCACTAGGTCAGGCCAGACCTACAAGCTGGCACAAGTTAGCCGCCAAGTAGAGAGCTGGGGGCAGGTATGGCACACTGCACAGGTCAACCATTCCTGGCCTAAGCATGGAGCTTTAGCCTCATGGGCAATCTACAGATGTGATCTCAGGAAACGCCACAGATCATTTTCCTCCCATGGCTGAGCTCAGCCCCTCTAATCATATGAAATACTGAAGTGCTTTACAGTTGGACAGCCATAGGTCTGAATTCTAGTTCCACCACTTTAAGTGTGACTTTGGCAAGAAACAAGTCTCTCTGGGCTCTGCTTCCTCATCACTACAAGGTGCAAAGAATGGCTGCTGCGAGGGATTACAGGAGCTACTGTGTGTAAAGCACCTGGCGCTGGCTTCGTATCTACTGACACGAAGTCAGTAGAAGCCTGCTCGGACTGTGGCCCACATGGCCACATGTGCACCATGTCCCAGAGGATGGGACCCCCAAGCATCCTCACCCCCATCGATAGCTCAGAGTCTTCACTTTGTGCAAGGAGAAGAGGGGAGGTGGCCGCAGGGAAACAGAGGATGGCAGGGCAGAAGCCACAGCATCTGTGGCCGTGCAGCCTGCGCCTGCGCCTGGGCATCCATGCTCCAAGGGAGTGAGGAGAGATGAGCTGTCCCTAAGAGAACCCGAGGGCCTCTGTCACGAAGCAGCTTTCCCTCCAAGTCCAGCTGCAAAGTGTGCAAGAGTCTAGGCAGAAGCCGCTGTGCCCCTGCTTCTCTAAGGACTTCAGTGGTTCTCTCTGTGGGGACTGGAGGGTCGAGAGAATCTGGGGCCATGCACACCTGGCACGGGTGCTGGCATCTGTCGGCAGGCAGCGACGCTTCTCTGACAGTCTCAAGGGCCCTGGCCACAGCAGGATGGATGGGGAATGGAGAAGATGCTGCATGAGAACTAAGGCAAAGCATGTATGTGGCGCCATGTAGGACCCCTTAGGAGACTCAGAATTAACTTGCCTAGTTTCCAGAATGAGGTGCTCATGGCTTAAGCTGTCATCATTTGATCAATGAGGTAGCATAGCAACAGACTGGGACATCTGTGGGACATTATGAAATTGTGAATGGACCTTGTGCTGAATGAGGTCCAGTCATTTATTCACTACTCAATCCCATGGTGGCACATGTTCAGAGTATATCATCTGTGTTAGGCTTCTCCTCTAGGTGGGTATACAAGCTCTAACAAGACAAAAGAAAAGAAGAAAAGATAAAAGAACAACATTTTCCCCTTGAATTGCTAATAGCAGAGTCCTGGGACTAAAGATGGCTTCATTCTAAAAACAAGTAGCCCTGTTTACAAATGTCTTCTGAATCAAAGGCACTTGCCTACAATTACATGATCTAAACTCTAAATAGATAAGGTTTCCAAGATGCATGAAACTAAATCTAAAATGTAGCATCTTTTCAGCATGAATTAAACAGAACATGTAAAGGACATCAGCATAGATACCATGTCCTTGCCCATGTATTTTATAATATATCACACATATTATGTGGCCCTAATAAGATTTGATGTACAAATGGCCCAAAATTTATGCTGTAATCACATTTAAATAAAGCACAAACTGACATAGATAGCCTTCAAGTATGGTAGATCATATATAAAAAAATTAGCGCGGCATGGTGGCACATGCCTGTAGTCCCAGCTACTTGGGAGGCTGAGGCAGAAGGATCGCTCGAGGCCCAGGAGTTTGAGGTGCTGTGAGCGAGGCTGACGCCACGGCACTCACTCTAGCCTGGACAACAAAGCGAGACTCTGTCTCCAAAAAAAAAAAAAAGAATTAAAGTTAGTGAGTAATGTTTGTGTTCTGCCCAGAGTGTTTGAAAGTAATCTATTCCAGACAAGGTCCTGTGATAAACAAGGATGTTGCCTACAGGCATAACAAAGGACCTGAGCTGCGAGTAGCAAGAGTAGCCCTGCCCCACAGCATTGGGGGTCTGGAGGCCACATGATAAACATATTGTTCCTATGATTGCTGCGTACACCCCATAAGATGGCTGGTTAGTCAATGACGGGTAAGACCCCTCAAGGGAGGGGGGTGACCTCAGTCATGCACAGCCGCTGGGGTTCAGCCGAAGATCTTAGGGGGTTGCCCATCCTTGCTAATCTTGGTCCTTTACTTATGCCTAGTGCCTAGAGCAACCACCTTGAAATTCTGAGTCAGGGGATATCTGCTTCCCTAAGGCTACACTTCCGGAATTTATGGCTATCACTGCCACACCTGGGTAGTTACGTACAAGGAACTAACTTTAATTTTTTAGAGTATAAAAATAAAACGGACCCAGTGTATTATTACTCGAGTCAACGGTTTGTACGTGTGTCTGCATTTTTCTTTGTGTTCTGCGCATTTGTGTTTTATGTTCTGTGTTCATCCTCCGTCCTGTAAACGGGCCATGACAGGGTGGATCTATTCTTTGACTCCCAGATCTGACTCTGGGGGAGGCTGAAAAATTTTGTTCTAACAGTGGCACATTTGCAGAACTTGTCTACCTGGATTAGGCTTTCCTCCCAAGCAGGACAAGCACAGAAAGGGCTGCTTGGAGAGGAATGGGATCTGACACAAGGGTGGGAATTGGGAGGCCCAGCCTGGGCATGGGAGCCTGGGAGGCAGTGTCATCTCTGGGACACTGGAGACATCTGGGCCAGAAGCTCAGCCAGCATGTGGGCCCTGGGAGTGGGGTGGGCTCCTACACAAGCCAGGAGCTTGAACCAAAGCAGAGCCAGTCTCGCACACTGGCTGTGGATGGAGAAGTGCTACAGCCAGCATGAGCCACACTGGGAGAAAGGAAGGCATTGCAGCCAAACCTAAGGGACCAGCAAATGTGGTCAGCACTGCAGGAGCCCCCGCCCATGGGATGCGATCAACCAAGTCCCTGCATTAGGGAACAAATGACAAGCCAAGGGGCTGCCTGCTCAGTCACACTAGGTCAGGCCCAGACCTACAAGCTGGCACAATGTTAGCCGCCAAGTAGAGAGCTAGGGGCAGGAATGGCACACTGCACAGGCTCAACCATTCCTGGCCTAAGCATGGAGCTTTAGCCTCATGGGCAATCTACAGATGTGACTCAGGAAATGCCACAGAATCATTTTCCTCCCATGGCTGAGCTCAGCCCCTCTAATCATATGAAATACTGAAGTGCTTTACAGTTGGACAGCCATAGGTCTGAATTCTAGTTCCACCACTTAAGTGTGACTTTGGGCAAGAAAGCAAGTCTCTCTGGGCTCTGCTTTCCTCATCACTACAAGGTGCAAAGAATGGCTGCTGCGAGGATTACAGGAGCTACTGTGTGTAAAGCACCTGGCGCTGGCTTCGTATCTACTGACACGAAGTCAGTAGACACCTGCTCGGACTGTGGCCCACATGGCCCACATGTGGCACCATGTCCCAGAGGATGGGACCCCTCCAAGCATCCTCACCCCCATCGATAGGCTCAGAGTCTTCACTTTGTGCAAGGAGAAGAGGGGAGAGTGGCCGCAGGGAAGCAGAGGACGCCAGGGCAGAAGCCACAGCATCTGTGGCCGTGCAGCCTGCGCCTGTGCCTGGGCATCCATGCTCCAAGGGAGTGAAGAGAGATGAGCTGTCCCTAAGAGAACCCAAGAGCCTCTGTCACGAAGCAGCTTTCCCTCCAAGTCCAGCTGCAAAGTGTGGCAAGAGCTAGGCAGGAGCCGCCGTGCCCTGCTTCTCTAAGGACTTCAGTGGTTCTCTCTGTGGGGACTGGAGGCATCGAGAGAATCTGGGGCCAGCACACCTGGCACGGGTGCTGGCATCTGTCGGCAGGCAGCGACGCTTCTCTGACAGTCTTCAAGGGCCCTGGCCACGGCAGGATGGACGGGGGAATGGAGGAGATGCTGCATGAGAACTAAGGCAAGCAGATGGTATGTGGGCACATGTAGGACCCCTCAGGAGACTCAGAATTAACTTGCCTAGTTTCCAGAATAAGGTGCTCATGGCTTAAGCTGTCATCATTTGATCAATGAAGTAGCATAGCAACAGACTGATGTTGGGGACATCTGTGGGACATTATGAAATTGTGCGAATGGACCTTGTTGGCTGAATGAGGTCCAGTCATTTATTCACTATTCAATAATTCACTCTGTCATTCCTATGGTGGCACATGTTCAGAGTGTATCATCTGTGTTAGGCTCTCCTCTAGGTGATAGGTATACAAGCTCTAACAAGACAAAGAAAAGAAGAAAAGATAAAAAGAACAACATTTTCCCCTTGAATTGCTAATAGCAGAGTCCTGGGACTAAAGATGGCTTCATTCTAAAAACAAGTAGCCCTGTTTACAAATGTCTTCTGAATCAAAGGCACTTGCCTTACAATTACATGATCTAAACTCTAAATAGATAAGGTTTCAAGAGCATGACAACTAAATCTAAAACTGTAGCATCTTTTCAGCATGAATTAAACAGAACATGTAAAGGACATCAGCATAGATACCATGTCCTTGCCCATGTATTTATAAATATACACACATATATGTGGCCCTAATAAGATCTGATGTTACAAATGGCCCCAAATTTATGCTGAATCACATTTAAAGAAAGCACAAACTGACATAGACACCTTAAGTGATGGTAGCATTTATTATTGTGACATTTATTGAGAGTTTACTATGTACCACAGACACTGTTATAGGAGCTTTACACATAAAAAAAAAAAAACATATAATGATCAGAACAACCCTAAGAAATAGGTACTATTATTATCATCCCCATTTTACAGCTGAGAACACTAAGGCACAAAGAAAGTGAGTAACCTCCCAGATGTTACAAAGCCAGTAGGAAGCAAAGCCAAAATTTAAGCCCAGGAAACTGGGTTCCAGAATCTATTCTTTTATTCTTCCTGTCAAATTGCCTACTCAATCTGAGTAATGTGAATCTTTACTCTAGGATTTTTAAAGGGGCAGCCCAAGGGTCTTAAAAAGTGTTAGGTTCCCAGAAATCGTCTGGGAACGACGTTCTGGGGGCTCCTCCACTCCACCTGTGCCCATATCTCCTCTCCCTAAATTTCCATGTTCACAGAAGCAGCTAAACCCACCATGCCCACTAACACACTCCTGACTCTTCCTGCCCTGCCCACTCCTCTCCTCCTGAGCCCTCTGCCCCATGGGCACCACTCAGCTCCCCTTGCTGCAAGTGAAGGTCAGAATGTGCACCCCACCTTCACGTAGCCCAGGCCACTGCTATGTGCTGCACCCTCTCAGACCCGAAGGCCACCCTTGCCCCGCGTGGAAGGAAGCACACAGAGGCCAATGGAAGTGCACGTTCTGGTCCAACCACTTTCCTTCAAAAATTTCTCCTAAACAGATTCTCTACTACATTACACGTATGTGTGTGTGTTGTACACATGTGCATATCTAAAAATATATATGTTCATATAATTTAAAAATATATGTTCTTAAAAACGATGATAACATTGTGGGTATGTTTTTAAAACCTTCTTCATCTATTAGCGTTCAAACTAAAATAATATTAAGACTTACAGGTAAACTGGTATGAAGCTTTGTATTTGTTTTAAAATACGCCAGTTTAAAAAAAAAAAGTTGAGGGCAAGGACCAGATGAAATAAGACTGAAAATGTTAAATAAAACTTGTTGAAGCTGACTGAGGGGAAGAATGAGATCATCTCTATTTTTGATATGACTAAAAATTTCCATGAAAACGTGGGTTTTGTTCTAACGCCCAGAAGAAAATAAACGAGTAGAATCTAAAGAAATTCTGGCTGTTGGTCGGAATCTGAGAGCTATCTTCAATTTTTTAAAGTATATTGTAACCAGCACGGGCCAGGTACTGGGTGGGCTCAGGGCCGTGGCGAGGAAGGCCAGCCCTGCCCCCAAAGGGCTCACAACGAACAGAGACACTGCTCGCACCTCTCTCGCCCGGACATGTGCCGTCAAGGAGGGCTGCCTGGAGGCGGTGATATACACACTTGAAGGTGCTATAGGATGAGTAGGAACTGGTGAGGGGGTGGGAAGGAGGGAGAAAACACCTCCCTGGGGATGGGGATGTCACAATGAGGTCACCTTATATTCACATCCTTAGGGGAGTTCCCTGTGGCCAGTGGGAGAAGCTGCAGGGAGGCAGATGCGGGTCTAAATCCTGGGAAAGTTCGCCCCCCCGCCGGGCTGCCCAGAGGGGCACCGAGCTGACTTTGGGGTTCTGGGGGCTCCTCCACTCCACCTGTGCCCGGCTGAGAGGAACCGACTACCTCCCACGGATTCCACAGGAGGGTCTGCGACATAGTGCCTAGGGGCCAAGGGCAGGTTATTCTCTTATTCTCGTAACAAACATTTGTTGTGTTTCTTAAATGACACCAAGGTGTGAGGGACATGGGGCTGAAAGAAATAAACCCAAAGCTCAAAATCCTACGGGACTAGGTGAGAATCAGGACTGAGTAGCCTCCTCTTTGTTAAAAAAAAAAAAGATGATAGTTAGACAGACAGACAGGTGGTAGATCACGTGACTTCACACGGATGCTGTCCCTTCTGCCTGTGCCTCTCAAGACTCTGCTTTCCCAGCAGCCCCTGGAGCCCGGGCCGGGTTCGGCCAGTCCTCTGTCCTCGGTGCTCAGGGCGCCAGCCTGCTCGGCAGCCCCAGAGGTTGCTCACAGGAGCAAAGACACCCACGAGAAGAGACTCACATCACCCGCCCTGAAGGTCGGCTCTTCGGAACATCAAACTTCCATGGTCTCACCAGGAGTTTGTCATGAAGAGGGAGAGTCGCACTTTCTGAACAGCGGGAGACACAAGAACGCGGCCCAGCCGACATCTGAGGAGACAACGGGACTGGGGGCTCTGCTCAGGGGTGCCCGCCAGCTGCCAGATGTCGGGCAAAGCGCTGCAGTCTCCTCACCTGGAAAAAGGGGCCGAAGTCTACCTTCCTTTACGGGATAACCCATGGGAAATGTCATACGTAAATGTTACCTGCAAACGTCAGTGTCCCGGGGCTGTGTATGTGCAAAGAGTAACACTGATTAATTTCCAGTCACCACGAACAATAAAATGAGTAATTAGCTAGGCCTCCGCCAGCCTTAGCTCCATCAACATAAGGACTGTGTTTCCTTTTTCTCTGTTGAACCCTGTGTTGAGTGCAGCGCCTGGAACACAGTAGGTACTCAATAAATACTTGCCGAGCAAATGGAGGGGGCCCAGCGGGCTTCCGTGGGGGGCGGGCTGCAAGGCTAGAGGCGCACACCATCTGCAGCCCATGGCCCCGGCTGCTCAGCTGCTGTCTCCCTCTCCTTCTTTCTCCTCGTCCCCCTCCTCGGGGTCCACGTGCCCCTCGCTGTCCTCACAGACAGCCGGGAGGTCCCTGCACTGTGGGGCTGCACGGGGGCACCTGGGGGCTTTCCTGCGACGGGGACAGCAGCGCAGGCCCCACTCGCTGCAGCTGCAGGGGCTCTGGGCCGCCCAGGCGTAGGCGCCCACGGGCACCGCGAGCAGCACGGCGCACAGGACCACGGTGACGTGCAGCAGGCGCTCGCGGGCCTCCAGCCCGCCGCCGTCTCTGCCGGTCACGAAGACCACACACTGGCCCTGGCTCGGGGGCTGTGCGCCCAGGCTGAGGCAGGCCTCGTACTTGGTGGCAGGAAGGAGGTCGTCCACGGCGTAGGTGTTGACCCCGGGGCCGATGTGGACCACTTCTTTCCTGAGGGCTTCATCGGACGCAACGTAGAGGGTGAACCACTCTTCCTGCGGGGTGTCGGCCACTGCGAGCCACTCCAGCAAGATCCCGTGCACCGTCTGCTTGGCCACCCGCAGGTCAACGTAGGCACTGGCCTCCGAGGGCGGGGACAGAGAACGGGGCGCAGGCAGGGCTGGGGCAGGCTGCACGCGGAGGGAGATGACAAGGGCGCTCCTGCCGATGAGGTTGGAGGCCACGCAGGTGTAGTTGCCGCTGTCTACCAGGTGGGCAGCCGGTATGGTCAGCTCCGACCGGGCAGCGCCCTCTGCCGTAGGAGAGGTCAACACTGGGAAAAGAGAAGAGCAAAACAGCTGTGCATTCCTCTGACAGACCGCTGGAGAGTGTCCAGCAATGCCAGCTTTTTGTTTTTTTAAAAAAAGTGGTCCCCACTTACTAAGCTTGTACCTGGTGTAAGGTGTTTGCCTCACAGCAACCCTGTGAGTAACTGATTTTTACACATGGGACGTTGAGGATTGGAGCAGTCAACTTGCCCACAGTGAGAGTTCTTCAGACGCCACAACTGCTCTAGGACCCAGTCCTTCTACCCATGGTGACCACATTCTTTCAACTTCACTAGCTGCTCCCACCGAACCACCTTGGCCTCGCTGACTAGGCTTTCAGGAGATCTCTTAAAACGGCGTGACTGTGCGGTATTGTGAGATTCAAGAAGTCCCTTCTTACTTTTCAGATCCACAGAGACTGGAGCCAAACACCCAGACTTCCATTCCTTACTAAGTATATGGTCCTGGGCAAGTTGCTTAAATTCTCTTGGCATCAATTTGTCAGTAAAACGGGATGATAATGGCACTCACCCCGTAAGTTTGATAGTAAGCATTCAGTAAGTCTAAGCTTCTATTATCACTGACAAAACGGATACAACCGTGCTAAAGAGTGATTACAGAGCATCCTAACAAACAACATCTGGACTCATTTCCCAGTTTTCAAAGAGGCTACGATAATAAATTCTGTATTTCCCCTTTGTCGGTATTGAACCTTGAGCCAATCAGGTATGACCGAAATGCTGGGGAAAAGTGAACATTTCAGTTAATTGTTTTTGTTTTTTTTAACCATCCAAAGTTTTTTCACCATACATAACAAATATCCGGACAACTGAGTACATTTCTCGAGTTTTACACAGACATTTCTAGTTGTCTTCTAGACAGAGCACAGGGGAGCATATGGGAATCTGCAAAAGTCCTTTCAGCTTCAAGATACCCCTGGGAAGGCCCTCTCTGGCTTTGTGACATGTCCAACCCTAGAGAGTGGCATTAAAGGTAATTCCAGCTGGGGTATGAAAACAGAGCAAGGGGGTCCAGGAAAGGAGAAACAGGTTTAAATCCCAGTCCTGGGGCCCACGAGCTCACTTCCTCTCTCTAGGCCCCAGTATTACAGTTTCAAGCCAATAATATCTTATCAATCTTATTTCAAACAAGCACCCCAGGTGATTCTGCTCAGGCAAGTTTAGGAAATAGAAGATCATCTCTTGAATCGATCTTAGAAATTCTAGAATTCTAAAATGCACAGTATAGTGTTTTCCATTCAGACGACTCTTAAAGAATATATTTGTTCATATACAATTTTATAATATTTATGCAAGTTGTTGAATCAGCCCCAATATATGTATTTACATATGTACGTATGTCATAGAGAGATCTATACACAACCATTTAAAATAATGCCATTAGTAGAACACTATCTTGGAATCTTTTCTGTTCTGCTGAGCATAATTCAGATCTATCTCTACCTTACTTGAACCCATCGTTCATGACTGACCCAGTTTAGAACCTTTCCAATGAGGATGGGGTTGCTACAGACCTCTCCATTCCGCCCTAGATAGCTGAGAGGGTGCATGTGGCTTACCATCAAATTCTCTCCACATGCTCAGGGGATAAGTCCATGCGATGGTTGGTGAGGGGCTGGCCTGTGCCAAGCATCGCAGGGTCACATTCTGTCCCACCCAGATGGTGACATTGGCACTGGGGGTTGAGATCTGTGGCTTCATGCAAGCACTGAGCTCAGTTTCGTGAAAAAGCTGCCCTGCCTTGGAGGGAGGGCCCTGGCATATCAAGTAGGAATTCACCAGGATGACTGGGAGGGTGACGGACTTGACAAACTGGACAAGTCTCCTTAGGCGGCAGTCACATACCCAGGGATTGCTGTGCAGCGCCACCACCAGGCTGGAGGGAACCTCAGCCCCACATCCAGGCTGCCGGCGTTTCTGGTAGGCTGGCCAGTTCAAGAAGACACTCTTGGACACAACTGTAAGTCTGTTGGAAGATAGGTCAAGGTAGGTCAGGTTGGCCAAGAACTGAAGAGCCAGCTCAGGGAGCAGGTCAATCTTGTTGTGTTTGAGATCCAAGACGCTCAGGAGAGGCGTGGCGCGGAACGCTGTCCACGGTACTGAACGGAGTTTGTTCCCCTCCAGCCTCAGCTCTCTCAGTTCCGGCAGGTGCTCCAGGGCTCCTAGGTGGATCACAGTGACATTGTTAAAGTTGAGCCAAAGGTACTCCAACGTGCTCATGTTGATAAAAGACCCTCGGGGCAGCTCAAATAAGGGTGAGTTTTCAATTCTCACTTGCTTGAACTCTTCAGGAAGGTTCCCTGGGATCTTTCCCAAAGACGTAGACATGCACTGCAGAGCCCTGTACGAGAAACCAGAAAAGAACTTTAAGATGAACATCAGGGATTTGGAAAGTGGGATCAGGCTGACCCTGGCATTAACGTGTGAATTAGAAGAAAAAAAATATTATTCACTTGAAATAAAAGGATTAGACCCATTGTTGGTAAAATGTACAGTTCAGCAAAGTACAGAACCAACTAGAATGAGTCTCCTAGAGATTTTGCTGGTTTCCTGCCAGTTCTAGGCCTGCTTCCACTCCACATAATCCCCAAAGAAGGCCCATCCCCTGCAACCCTCTGACATCTTGCCAGCTCAGCGCACCTGCCAAAACTCTCCTCTGAGCAGGTGCATCCTGGCAGGCAGAAAGACTGAGCTGCGCATGTATCCAGAAAAGCCAGAACTAATAGGAAATAGCGAAAAACTGAAGCCATATTCCTCTGCAAGAAAATACCTTGTGAGTATTGAATAAGTATAGTCCCAGCTTCCGAGTGGCAAATCCTATTATTGGTAATCCTTGATGATGTAGGGCGGCACAGCAGCGGCCAAGCCCCTGGAGGCTCTGAACTCTGTCGCAGCCTAGATCACAGGCTCAGTCAGAATCCACAAAGAGCAAACAATGTCCTTTAACAAAGGCCAGAGAATTTACCACTTGTCTAATTCTTGAGTCTGGAAAGCAAACTCTAAGTCAATTGTACAAGTCCATACTGGAATTTCCTCGGTCTCTTCTAAAGAAGTCTAAGAAACAAGGAGGTAATGCCATTCTGAGCACCATTGTTCATGAGATTTGGCCAGAATCTATACTTCAAGACATTCACAATTGGTTCCTGAAACCTAGAATTTTCAACCATTTTCCCAAAGTGAAAGTACATATGAGCAACAAAGTGATTCTGTGCTCGCTCCTATAACTTGTTCTTTCCCCAGCACACGGGGTGGTGTGGTCATTCCTCTCCTGTATCAAGGCAGCTGCATCTGCAGCTCGGATGACTACAGTCCGAGAAGCAACATGGTGCAGTTTCAAACACAAGGTGGTGTTTTCTGATTAAACCAAAGCTTTTTTCTTTCCTTGGACCTCAAAATTTTTCCTGAATTCTGTGCATTTTTCATCATCAAAATGAAAGACATATGTGCGATTTTAGACACTTGCTCTGCTGCTCTTCATTCATTCCACAAATATTTGTTGCTCATTAGCTCTCAGCTGCACTCTTGCTAAGTGAAAGGAATGGGGTAGGGGGGAAAAACTGTTACAGACCCTGTCCCATGGAGTCTTCTCTCTTGCTTATGCTTTTGAGTCTTGAGATCTTTGGAATGTCATTTAATCTCTGTAAGGCAAGAATATTAATAAATACTTGATAGTGTTTCTAGGAAATTTTGAGATTGTGTTAAATACAGCACCTTGCATGTAGTTGGTACCCAATGATTTACCTCCCACCAAGAGACTCTTGAAGAGGAGATAAGTCTGCATCCCTATTAATTGGGGCACTTCCAGATGAATACTGAAATTCCATGGGTTCCTGTAAGATGCATGATATAAATTGTACCCTACAAAAGGCCTCAGCAATGAAAATCCTCTTAGTAGCTAACCAGCGATGGCGGAAATGGGTCACCAACTAAGCTGATTACACTCCAGGCTTTCCATTCAAGCCAGATATATTTGCTGGAATTTCCAGACAGTCTAACTAAAATCTGGCTAGGTCTCTGGAGCTCCTCTCAAGGTAAAAATCCAAAACAAGGGGAGTGCTGTGGCTACAAAGTTTGTGGCAGACAAGGAGACATGCCACTAGATCACTCTTCAAGGAATGAGTTGATGCTGAGCTGCAAGGAGTGCTTGCCTGAGGTCATGCCCTTCCCAAGGGAGCCCACACCCAGGGACTGAAGGTGGTGAGGGCCTGGACAATTTGGCCTGATGGGGTCTACTCTGGCGAGCAAGTCTCACTCCAGAGTACCCTGCCAGGTTCGCCAAGACATTGTCAGACCTGCTTTGTGAAAGGATATGATTCAACATATAGGTGTCCTAAACCACTAGTGGATTCTTTCTCTCCCCTTACCCCAAATATAAAGGCCTAAAGAGCCTCCATTCCCTACAATTTCCACTCTTTCCATCCCATGCCAGCCTTTTCAAATGAATCTAGCTCCACCTGACTGTCCAGAAGTTTGCTAAAAGCCCATGAAGAACACCCACTGCCATGCCATCTATGAAATCATCTAGGCCACATCTCCACTGCCCCTTCTCCTCTCCTGACCTCCTCATCCTCTGGTTTCCTTATTTGGCAGATGGACGTAGGGAGTAGCTCTGTGGACAGTTCAAACAGGACACTAGGACAATTTAAGTCAGCTTGGGTCATGTTGTTTATCCTAACCTGTGGTTAAGTGTAGTCCCCAAACTCTAGAGACCTTGACACCCAAGGAGAGGGGGTCTAAGCATCTTACAACCCATGTCCCCTCCTGCAGGATGCCTTTCGGAACTTGACTCTTAGAGTTCTTTGTTGAGACAGAGTTACAGAATGTGGAGTTACACTGTGCTTATAAAATAGTTAGATATAAATAGCTGTGGGGCAGCAGCTCCCTGGCATGTTTTTATAAGATCCTAATAAGAGAGTGTCCCCACTATTCAACTAGGAAACCCCATTCACCTCCCCAATATTAGCGCAACTTTGGGATAGCTCAGACAGAGAATTAGGCAACCTACCAGGTAGCAGACACGCTGTCCTCCCTCTCTCTCAAGCTATAGGCTCTTTCCCACTCTGTCCATCTGCACCCAGCCATGTCTGAAACGGCCTCCTTGGCTACCTGCAGCAGACACACATAAGACTACTTTTCCAACCTCCTGGAAACAGGTGGGCTGTGTGACTCGTGTTCTAATGAAATGTTAGAGGAAATGATATTTGAAAAGCCCTGACATGATCCTCCAGTTTCTCTTGATCCTTGTTGTGGCAACTGTTGACATTCCAGGTGGTGGAGACTTCACCAGCCTGAGCCGCTGAGTAAGTGAGCAAGGCAGAGCCCTCTTCCACGCACATTTCCCACTGACTCACGTAGTCTCTGTGGGAACAGGAATACACGTTAATGTGTTAAACCACTGAAATTTGGGAATGGTTACCATAGCACAAGCCCAACTTACCCTGACTACAATGCCCTTGCAGCCAACAAAATATACAGAAGTGCTTGAAAATTGATTTTTGTCTTTGCTAGATTATATGCAAGTTAAAACTGTCCAGCTCAGTCCTCTGGAAAAATTGCTCCTGGAGTTGTTTGATTGACAGCCTAGGTTTGATAACCCATGTCCACTTGCCAGGATACAATTTCTGTTATTTGCATTTTTGTACCCTGCAGCCTAGACAGGAAACCACAGATAAGTGACCTCAAACATACTCTCTGTCTGGTTAAGAGGAATATAATCATGTTGTAGTCAGAAAAGGACATGTTGGAGATGCCATGATTCCAACCAACCTCCCAGCCAGGCTTCCAAGGCCAGCATCCTGCAGGGTCACTACAGCACAAGCTGATCGTCAGCACTGGAAGGCCACAAATTCTTTCTCCAGGACACTCAGAGGGAATTCAGTCTTCAGGGTCTGACTCACACTAATAAGACTATTATATTAAAAGATTAATATATAAGCCAGACTTCATTTTATTTTTTACAATGGGAATTTGTTTTTTACAGTGACTTGAATATATTCATAAGCACAATCCATGATGATTCTTCCTTTCAAGAGCAAACCAGGAAAGACAGAACACACAAAGGAAGGTTGACAGATGGGCATCGGGTATTTGGGTATTGGTATTGGTAGGCTAACCATCTTGGAGGCCTTTCCATCTAGATCGTGAGGATAGACCCTAATGAATCATAGGAAAGTTTGAATTTTCTTTCTCTGTGTCTGTCTGTCAATAAATACTAACAAATCCTCACTTTCAAATTCCTTATTTTTCTCCAAACAAGGTTCAGAAAAACTGGCTGAATGGTAGCTGTCCTTAGACCAATAATTATTCAATCTTGGTTAGCTCAGTCATCAAAGACATCTTGATTATTTCAACACATGGCTGCTTTCCTCCACTGCACTTATAGTTGTTCTAATTTCGGGGAGTATCTGTCACTCTCATAGATCACACACTCAGAATTGACTCTTGGGTCTCCAAAGACACAGCAGAAACAGTTTTACAAATCTAGATAAGGGGCTGGCAAACTGCAGCCTGAGGGCCAAAACAGTCACTTGTTTTTGTAAATAACATTTTATGCGAAGCACATCCATTAACTCATATAATGTCTACAGCTGCTTTCATACCCCATCAGCAGATGTGTAGTAGCGACAGAACCTAAAGCATTTACTATGTGGCTTTCTTTATGGAAGAAATTTGCTGACCCCTGATGTAGACAGTGTCTTTGAATTCTTCCAACCAAATTCTTTCTCTTACCCGTGGCTGTGGCCCTCAAATGGTAGTCGGATGCACCCTCCAGGTGATGGGAACGCCATGCTCACGTGCACAGATGCTCTTACGGTTCTGATCCCAGGTTCAGTGGCTCAAAATAAAAAATCCATTTCCATAGTTATCCTGTTGTGAACTGCACTGCAGGGAATGATACTGAATACGGACCCTCTGCCTGGCCAGAAAGTTGTCAAAGAACTGGATTCCAAAAGAAAATCCATCACTCTCCTGTAGAAATCATCCAACTCTTTGGCTCTCAAGGTTTCTCATCTGTAAAATCAAATAGCCCAGCCTCCACAGCAGGTGTCATGAGTATCCAATGTGAGGAGACTAGGGGAAATATTAATATATGCTAAGGCTTTTGTAAATGTGAGGGGAGTGATTTTAGAAATCATGGCACCACACTGGTTTATATCTAGAAAATATTCACCATGATTTGGAGTCTTTTGCATGATACTAGACAAATAATTTTCTTGGATCATTTGCTGTCCCCAAATTCCCTCAGTTGTTACCTAAAAGCTTGGCACAGGCACCCTGGATGTTCCCCTCACCAGAGCTCAGCTCTGTTAACAAGAAACAACTTGCACCTTCTGTTGAGAACGTTGACAACCCAGATCCACTCCAGTGCACAGAGACAACAAGAGTCTCAGTGGCTTCCCAGCTTTAAGAAAAACTGAACAGAAATCCTCCTTTGAAGCTGCTCGCTGAGCAACCAGGAAGGCTTCGAGACGCCCTCGGGAAACCAGATAAGTTTCGGTGAGAATCACAAAGGCTGCTATGCAGGGGCAGAGGTGAGCTGTGTGCCAGCTCACAGCTTTGGGTGGGAGAGGGTCTCTCAGATCCCTCCAGTCGGACATTCTGAAAGCAAATGAGCAGTGATCTCTTGGGCATCATCCAAAACTCTAGAATTTATTGGAAATCAAATGATTGTCCCTGGGCAGAATAGCACCCAGAGAACAAATGTTAGAATCCACTGGGAACAGTGTGTACAAGTGTGGGGTGTATATAT